TAAGTTTATTTACCAAACTTTGCTTATTATTTGGGATGAACTTCTAATGCAACATTATTATTATCCTAAGATAGTTGATTATTCTCTTAGAGACATTTAGAATATAAATTGCCCATTTGGAGGAATAATAATAGTTTTTGGTGTAGATTTTTGTCAAATATTATCAAAGATTGTGAAAGGAATTTAAGAAGAAATTATAGCAACATCTTTTTGACATTTAATACTTTGGCTTCAAATAAAAGTTTATACATTAAAAGAGAACATGAAGTTGAATTTAGAAGTACTTTAAGCAAATATTGAATTAATTAATTGGCTTCTTCAGATATAGATTGCACAAAAATATTGTATATGTACATGGTGGTATATTTAAATATTTTATAGTTATATTATTATTGACTAATATTTATATTTACTACTTATCAAATTAGAAATGATACAAACTTATTGCCCAATAATATAGTTATGCTTCTTAATCATATGATTGTTGATCAAGAATTAATGTTTTTAGTGAATGTTGTTTATCAAAGATTACCAAAAGATATTGTAGCAAATGATGCTTTTTTTAGAGATAAAATCTTTTTATTTCTATAAAATAATGATATAGAGGATATTAATGAGAAGATTATGGCCATATTTTTCAAAAAAAAATAAGAATATCTAAGCGCTGATGAAATTGTTATTGAAGATGGTGTTGACTATAATAATATTTATCTAGTTAAATTCATCAAGTCGCTTAACCTATCTCAGATGCCTAGACCAAAGCTTTGTCTTAAAATTGAGACTCTAGTGATACTACTAAAAAATATTGTTCCTTGCCAAAGGCTTTGCAATGAAACTTGATTGATAATTACACGACTATTGGATCGAGTTCTTGAAGCAAGAATTCTTTAAAGAAAATTTGGTGAAAACTTGGTATTTATTTTGCAGATTGCATTAACTTCTACAACATAAGAACTTCTATTTATTTTAAATAGAATGTAATTTCCAATCTATCTTACATTTACAATAATAATAAATAAATTTTAAGGATAAATAGTGAAGCATGCTAGTTTGGATCTATGACAACCTATTTTTTTCCATAGTAAACTTTATGTAGCACTCTTCTAATGCACTTCTTCTTGTTCTATCAAGATTCTTCTTTCTAGAAATGACAATTTAAAAGCCACACTAAATATTATTTTTTAGAAGTTTAATTAGATCAATATTAATAAATTATTTTTTAATTTTATATTTTAATTTATTTATTTTACTATTTTTGAATATTTAACATATTATTTATTTTTGATTGAACATAAATTAACAATTATATAATATCAATTTGAGATATTTGAATATTTAATATGTTATTAATTTTTTATTGAACATAAATTAATAATTATATAACATCAATTTGAGATGTTTGTAGTGCCTACAATTATACAATTTGTCGTGCCTACAATAATTTGAAATGTTTATATAACATCACTGATAAGAAGTTGGAGAATATATATACTATCATGTTAGTCTTTGAAATTGAATCTTTGTTTAACAAAAAATATAAATAAGGAGAAAATAATATAAAAATATGTGTATTTATAATATTTTGATATGAATTATTAACTTTTATTTGTAAAAGACTTGTATATTTTTGTAAGTACTTTCGTACATATAAATCTTTGACTTTGATTTCAACATATGGATGTCTTTTAAAAATTCAAAACATACTTTTTGAATATTTATTCTAAAATCAATATTAGAATTAAGATTTTTATAATATATATAAATATATAAATACATATATAAATAAATATATATATATATAAATACATATATAAATATATATATATATATATAAATACATATATAAATAAATATATATATATATAAATATATATATATATTAGTAATATTTATATTTTTTACTACTTAAATTCAATTGAGGATCAAATAAGTTTAAGTTATATTAAATACATAGAGACTTTATTTTAAATAGTTTACAACAAACATCTCAAATTATTTATCTTTGTTCTATAATTTACATATAATGATATAAAAACTCAATATATGTTGTTTTTGAATTTAGGTGCAATTATATTAAATTATATACATTCCAAATCTCAAGCTATAGCATCAAAATATTAATATAATATTTATTAAAACATCTTAAGTCTTTTGGTAAAATAAATCATCATTATATATATATATAAAAAATCGATCAAAATATGTTTGGCTGGAGCAATACGGTGGTAAAACCCAATTGCGGGTTTGATCTAATTACTACCAAGTTATCCAATTATTGGGATCAAAGGATGGGATGGGATGGGCCGAGCTAGGACAAGCTAGGCCAAGATAGCAACAATGATGGCAGAACAAATGATTCCAATCCGCACCTAGTTGACTTGGCGTTGTTTTTTTTTTTTTTTTTTTTTTTTTTTAATAATCTCAGTAAGGAGTATTAATTGGCTATTGAGATATGTTATATATATATATATATATATTTTTGATTAGCTACCAAAAACGTACTTGACATTAGCAAAGCTAGTATGTTTAACAACTAGTATTTTGATGTAATTATTATATTTGTTTATACATGTAAATTTTTCAATTTTATTTTGTATAAAAATAAATAAAAAATCTATATGGTTTTTTATATTTAAATGAGATGTGATTATTTTTTATTTTTAAAACAATTATATGTTTTAAATATAAAAAGATATTAGATTACAAAAAATTATTTTAAATATTACAACATAATAAAATAACAATCAAACTACAATCATTTGATGCACTTTTAAAAAAAATTAAGATATTAAAACATTTAGCAAAGAAATATATAAGTAAAAGAACTTTAGTCATCAACAACACACATGAGATTGTACATCTTTTATTGACTTTCATCAAGTTCATTCCACAAAATATTCACAAAATATTAAGTCAATAAATTTTTTCTACTTATTACTTTGTCAAATATGTTTTTTAAAATTAGAGCAATTGATGCATCATACATGTAACATAAGGCCTTAGAGCATAATTTTTTGAATAACATATAAACAACCTTGAAAAAAATAAAAGAAGAAATTTATTGCTTATGAAAATATGGTGATATTATTGATTAATGCAAGATAATTTAGGTACTTAATGTTATGAATCTTTAGTGAATTCTTGTACCCTTCTACTTCCTCTCTACTACCTCTTCTTTCAAAATATTAATATAATTTGACAAATTAGGTTTTGTAGGAAATCAAAAGTTTTATTTATTTTATTTTCTTTTCTTCTATTATATATTATGTAAATTTTGATGAAGTTTACATATTTTTTATTCCAAAAATATAGAAGTAATTTATAATTCTTCAATACTTTTATATTCTTAGATATAATTATGCTACCTTTCTATTACAAATTGCCACAAATTGCAGAATTCTATGCCTTTGTAACATGTACCTTTTATTTGATATGATGTTTTAAAACATCAATTAATAGCATTTCAAATACTAGTTTGTCATGTCAGTAGATATGTAAAGTCACTGTTTATGCATGCAATACATGTTTCAAAATGAAAATACAGTAATGACTCAGAAGATCTCTTGTGGAAAATTAATTTCTACATATGTGGGCACATATATAATGAAGTCTTGAAAGACCACACAATGAACATGTTTGAAGCTCAAGGCCACTACAATTCAAAGTCTTCCAAAAAGATACAAAAAATTCCATCTAAATGCATGTCCTTCTCAAAGTTAATCTTTGTACATCCTATTTTAGACTTGTGGCCACATCCATCTTAAAAATGCAACCTTATTAGATGAATTTGTGTTATAAAATGAAGCCTATTAGTCCAAGATAATAGCAAGTTGCTTGCAAAAAAAAAACATTCACTTTATTTTGATAATTTGTTTGTTTTCACAAATATAAAATCCAAACATTTTGATGTCAAATTTATTTGTTTATATTCTTTTATTTAAATTTTATTTATTTATTGAAATGATAAAGCGACCCAAATTTTTACTAAATTGACCTACATGTTTAAACCATCATTGTATTCTTTCAACCATGTCTCCATTCTAAGTCATTCTCCTATTTTTAATTGTCGCCTCTATTCCTAGCCCCTTTGCTTAGGTCCTTAGCAATGGTTGGAGATAAAGAATGGTTGGGAATAAGGATGAGAGCTGCAAGGGTATGATGATGGTTAAGATAGAGTGTCTTGCTTTATCATTCTACTTTGTTTATTCGTTTATTTCATTTATCAATGAAAAAGAGCCAAATCAAATAAAAAGTACTTTCTCACTATAGAAAGTCCTTTGTCCTTCTCATCAACAACTTGTAACATTTTAGGTTCTCTCTTATCATCCCAACCTATGACATATCATAGGAATTTTACATAATATACAAACAAGCAAACAAACAAATATTATATGAAAATTAATAAAAAAAATCACTCTAAAATGTGTCTACAATAAGAAGAAACTCTTTGTTCTAGAAACTTGTTCCTAAACCCTTTCCAATCCCCAACAACCAAATGACCCAAACTCTCAACCAACAAGCAAACAAACAAACCACTATAAACCTTAAACCCTAAACAATCACACCCCTACACCCTAAATACCCAGCACGTGCAAAGAAGCAGCTTCCTTGGCTTAGTGAAGGAATGGAGCATGGAAGGTACTAGAAAGCATCTCAGGGCACCATAAAGGAGATATTTTTTTGTGCTGGGCACTCAAACCCACAAGGGCTCTCTCTCTAACCAGCTGAGTTTGTCTGAATCCACCACGGCCAAGGGTACCACGGTCGAAGGCCCCCCAACCACCTCTCCCTACCGTGGAGGAGCCACCACGGCCAGCTTCTGCTGCGACACGACCCCGCGGTCACGGGCGCCTGCCTCTTCCCGTCGCACAATAGGCGTGGTTCGTAAGCCATGAATTCATCCACTCGAATTCATTCATCCACTCGAATTCATTCATCCACTTACATTCATCTACACTATTCCTCGAAATAGTCGACTAGCTACTCGGAACGTGCAGCGTCACCGGAGGTCTGCCTCCAACGCCTTCATAAGGCAAAAGCCTTCTTCTTGACCATTCGGGATTACGAGGTATTCGCAGCGATTTTGATTGTTGGGTTTCGTTTGTTTGGTTATTTTGTTTCTGGTTTCGTGGAGAATTTTTTTGGGTTCGGTTCTTGAGGTTGAGAATGGCGACCATCCAGTCAATCAAGGCGCGCGCCATTTATGACAGCCGTGGCAACCCCACTGTCGAGGTGCTGTGACGTCTGTGCTCCTTCGGAATAGTTTGTCGAATTTCATTTACCCATTGAGGAATCGGTGCACTGGTAGTTGGGTCGATGCCGATTGGGTGATGCTGGATGTAAATTTTATAGGGCTTGCTCATTTTGCATCTATTTTTCGTGCGCTCTTTGGGTTTTGGGAGGCGATCATGGACTGGAGGATTGAAGATTTTATGTGTTGTGTGTGTCTGTGTTGAACAGGCGGACATCCACTTGTCCGATGGATCGTGGTATCGAGCTGCAGTGCCCAGTGGTGCTTCCACTGGTTAGTTCCTTTCTTCCTCACATGACACTGTTGTTTCTGCCCCCACGTCTTCCTTTTGGGTATTTTATGCTATGTTGTGAACGAAGTGTGGGCTTATAGTTGTCGTTTTTTGCTTGTGTTTTTTCTTCTTGTTTCTTCATTACTGCTCTAGGGTGGAAGAGGTGGAGAGAGTGGTTGAATTCCGAGGGTTTTTTCGGGTTTGTTTTTGTCGTGTGCATTGACAACTTCTGTTTTTTGCTTGAAGGTGTCTACGAAGCGTTGGAATTGCGTGATGGAGGAAAGGATTACATGGGAAAGGGTGTGCAGAAGGTATTTATCTTTCTCCTTACTAGAAGATTTCCGATGAATTTTGTTCTAATGCTTGTACGAGTCATCGCCACATTTTTAGGATGATAATTACGCGTTTGTGAGTTGACTAAAATGAATAGATTCGTAGACAGCTTCACATCTTCACAAATAAGAACTGTGATTCCATGCATCAATCTGTAACCCTTCTCGATTTTTCCTCTAACTCGTGTACTTTTGTGATGCTAGGCAGTCGACAACGTGAACAAAATCATCGGCCCTGCCCTTGTCGGAAAGGTATGTGTCACGTCGTAGCTGCACGGATTCCTAATTTTACGACTGAGACGTAAACTTTAGTATGTGGGTTGCGAATTTAATTTACTGTTTACTTATTTGCAGGACCCCACAAACCAAACTGCAATCGACAACTTCATGGTTCACGAACTTGACGGTACCCAAAACGAGTGGGGATGGTGCAAGCAGAAGGTATCAATATCTGGGCTTCTCAATGCATTAGTACAGAATTTGGTGGAGACATTGATCTTTCAGGGGTTATTGAAATCAGGAATGATCGGCAGCAAGCATGGCGTTTGGCCTCATGGTCTGACTAGTTCCTTGTACTGGATTGTGCAGCTGGGAGCGAACGCTATTCTAGCAGTGTCACTGGCTGTGTGCAAGGCTGGTGCTGGAGTTTCGAAGACTCCACTTTACCAGGTTAGTGTTTCCTCCGGAGCCAATATTGCATGTAGTGGAATCCAGTACTTGAACTATTTTTAGTTCTATTGAATTTCGCTTAGTGAGCTATTCTTCGTTTCCATAATTAAATCATAACTTGGATGTAAAGTAGAGTCGTCTCATATCTTGAAGGAATCGTGTTCTTGCTCGACTTCTGACGAAAAGCTGGATGATTTCAGCACATTGCCAACCTGGCTGGCAACAAGGAAATCGTGATGCCAGTGCCCGCTTTCAACGTGATCAACGGTGGATCTCATGCTGGCAACAAGCTCGCCATGCAGGTCTGCTTCTTCCCAATTCTCAGCATCTAGCATCCGTTATTGACTGCGTAGTTACAAAAATGCAATGATCCGTGAAAGTTTCGAGCAAGTGTTATGTACAGTCTGCAGTCTCTGCCTGGAGACCCTAAGGTTGGATATTTGTTTTATTTGATCCATGTATCTTGTGGCTTGCTGGGATTTTTTAATAAGGTTTACTTCCTGTGCTTGTGTATCACAGGAATTTATGATTTTGCCCACTGGCGCATCTTCCTTCAAGGAAGCCATGAAGATTGGTTCTGAGGTTTACCATAACTTGAAGGTAATGCAGTAATTCTTTGAGTTTTTCACTAGAAATTTGGATTGTCACGATTAGAAAGATCTCACTTTCGTGTTGTATTCTAGAGATTTATTCAAGACAAATTTATTGATAGATCTCTTTGCATTTTTCAGGCTGTAATTAAGAAAAAGTATGGACAAGATGCTACAAACGTTGGTGATGAGGGTGGTTTCGCTCCTAACATTCAGGTTTCTACCACAAGTTTCTGGATTTATTATCGATGGACTTTGTTCAACAATGTTTTGTTGTAGCTTGGAGCCTTGCGTGAACTCTGCAGATGTCAGTTTGCACGTAATATGTGGTATCGCTGTACTCTCGGCTTTTGTTGGTGACACTTTTTCCAAATCTGGTTGTCTGGGAGATGTTCTAACACGGCATTGTCCACCTGGGACCACACAGGATAACAGAGAAGGTCTTGAATTGCTGAAGACTGCCATTGCGAAGGCTGGCTACACGGACAAGGTTACTTGATGTTGATAGCATGTGACTCTTCTATCGTTTTGGGTTTAACTGCTTCTGGAATTCTTGTACATTAGCATCTATTCCTAGGAGGGTCTTTTTTATCCACGTACTTGGTATCCGTCGTATTTGTGGAGTCTACTAAAGTCAAAGTTGCTTCGATCAACTAGGTGGTGATCGGAATGGACGTTGCAGCCTCTGAATTTTACAACGAGAAGGACAAGTTGTACGACTTGAACTTCAAGGAAGATGTAAGTATGGCACCTATCAAGGAAATCTTTCTGTGGAATTCGATTACTATTTTTACCAGAAGGCACGTTGTTTACTGGTTTCAAGATTTGTTTCGACTGTCGAACATCCATCGGCCCAGTCATCGTACTTCATATCATTTTCACGCTAAGTTCGTTGGAGCAGGTTTGCTCATAATTATGACCGTGGTTTGACATTGAACAGAACAACGACGGCAGCTCAAAGCTGAATGGAGACGAATTCATTAAGTTGTACGAGTCTTTTGTGGAGGAGTACCCTATTCTCTCGATTGAGGACCCCTTTGACCAAGATGACTGGGCTCATTACAGCAAGATTAACGAGCTGATGGGCGACAAGGTGCAAATCGTCGGTGACGACTTGCTGGTCACTAACCCAAAGGTGCAGTTCCATCTCCTGTCGCGTTCCCATTGGTACTTGACCCGAAGCAGGCATTTTGTGATGGTGCATAAGTAGTATGAATGTTAGTCAGTACCTTACTGATGAAGGTTGGTGCATTGTGTTGTTTTGGTTGCAGCGTGTGGCTCATGCCATCCAGCACAAGGCATGCAACGCCCTTCTTCTGAAGGTGAACCAGATTGGGTCAGTTACAGAAAGTATCGAAGCTGTGGTTATGGCGAAGAAAGCGGGGTGGGGTGTGATGACGAGCCACCGCAGTGGAGAGACGGAGGACAGCTTTATTGCAGACCTTGCCGTGGGGCTTTCAACAGTGAGTGAATGCTGAGCATAGAAGCAGTCTTTTTGGGTTTTGTTGTTATGGTGATGTTGGCTGTGCATAGATATGGTGAGATGTTCCAGTCGTATGAAGAGTATGGTACCGACGATTGGTGAACGATGCAGGGTCAAATCAAGACCGGAGCGCCATGCCGATCTGAGAGATTGTCCAAGTACAACCAGGTTTGTTGATGCTATAATCCTTGCTTTGCAGTATGATGCATGAGTTGCCTATGAAGTTTGTTCATGAAATTGGGAAATGGACTTTGAACACTCACTTTCTCACGGTGATTGTATTGTGCAGCTTCTGAGGATTGAGGAGGAGCTTGGTGACAAGGCTGTCTATGCCGGTCTCAAGTTCCGCAAGCCTGCTGAGCCATACTAGAGTCCTAGCACCTGTTCCGCATCTAATCATGCTTGATTTTTGGGGATGTACACGTGTGATTGTGAGTCACTACGTGCTGTTGACGTGAACCAGTTGTATTCAGCCTACTTTTGATGAGTTGATCAATAATATTACCAAATCGAACACATCTATATGGTATTGGATGCACTAATACCAAATGCTTTTAGTGTCCACGCTGTTTCGTGGTCCGGCTGTGGCGTGGATGAGGAGTTGCGCTCAAGCAGCAGGGGATCTTAGCCCAGCAGATCTGAGACTTCTTGTTTTCGATCGAAGTAGATCCCTTCAGTGTCACTGAAAATAGAACAACGGAATAGGAGGATCGTCTCACTCATATTGTATACGAGATATAGTCATAATTCCGTTTACAATTAGCAGCTTCAATTGAGCCTGTCATATTATCTGCGTCATGAATGAGGTCTTTTGATTGTAGGAATCGCTTTCCCAGAATTTCTTGGGCAATGCATGGTTGTCACGTATCTAACTGCATGGGCTTCACTCTTTTATTTCGACTTCTTATTCGGCAGACTCCTTCACAAATACAGAGAATGTCGTTAAAATGCACGTCTGACGATTGTATCCGGGTTAGCTTGCAAACACGCTTCTAAACTCTGTACACAGTCGATTGTGGAAGAAATTTGTATCGTTGTCATCTATCACGCTCCTCATAACATCCATTTTTTGTGCTTACATAGTCTATCCTGCAGTGACCCAGTTGAAACTTCATTGACGATTGTAAACAAGAGCCAGAAGGCCTCATTTTTGACACTGATTGGAAATAGTTATCATTTTGGCATTTTGACAAGCAGCATATTGCATGAGTGTGGGAGAAAATAAATAAATAAATAAAATCTGTAACATGTGATGTCCGCATTGAAAACAGGTACAGGGCTGAATCATCAAAGTTTCCATTTGAACGAAATTCTTGTGTGAGAGATCTGGGAGGAAGAATACTATCTTTTGTATTCACACTGATCCAATCGCATAGCAGTTATCTTTAAATAATCAGGTTGTGAAACAATCCAATGTGATATTAATGTAGAAACAAAGGTTTAAAAGAGCAAAGATGTAGCAAGAACATGTGTACATAAAATAGTAAACTTTTGTTGGATTGTGGTTTGCCTTCTAACACTTCAAAGTGGTTCAATAAAGCTCATTTCTTCTTAAATAAATAAATAAATACATAAAATCATTTTTATTTTGTTACTTTAGATTTTAATTGTACATGTCTATACATAATCCTTCATAGAGAAAAAAACAACATTAGTCTATTAGCTCACTTGTCACATTCTTGTGTAGATTTTTTCTACCCAAATGTACATATCCTCAAAATAAAATTTCAACTTTTTGTTAAAAACTTGAAGAATAATACAATTATTCAAGTTGGAATATATATATTAAAACTATGATTAATCTCCAAAACATTGAACATTATATTTATAATAATATAAATAACAAAATAAGCATTATATACAACAACACCACAAGATCTAAAAATAGAAGAGGCATCTCTTTCAATATATTAAAGCAAAAACTCTTTGCACACCTCAAAAACAAAACACTTTTTTATTGTTGAGAATGTTTTAGAGAGAGAGAGACAAGAGTATCTAGAAGTAATATGCATACATATGTAAACATACACATACACAAGAAGTGAGTTTATTGATAGGATTATATCTCTTATACAAAGAGAAGGAGAGAAGATAAATAGTTTCTTCCCACTACATTCCAAACATTGTAGCTACAATAAATAGTATGGAGAGCGCTGACTACATTTAATGCTTTCAACACTCTTTGTCATTCATTATAATATTTATATGCATAGAACTATGATCTATACTTTTCTGTAATCTCGTAAGATCAACAATTGCTACCTCATTAAAACCTTATCTAGGAAAATCTTATTATATTTAAAGACAAAACCATAGATGAAGGAAAAAGAGTACAACATTATTTCTAGAGTCTATTAACTTTCTTGCTAAAGAAAAGTAAATTGCTGCATGCTAATGCCATAGATAAATCAGTGATGGTTGCACAAAGGGAGAACTTTGGTGAAGAGATCAACGAAGTTATTTATAGATTTAATTTTCTTGATCTTAAGTATTAGATCAGTAAGTAAGTCATGGGTATAACTAAAACACTTTAAATCAATATGCTTTGTCCTATCTCCTTTAATGAAACCAATTTGCATCTGTGCAACACAAGCGCTATTATCTTCATATAAGATAGTTGGAGAATCATCATATGAAAGTCCACAAGTTGTCTAAATGAGTTTATCAATTGATTGCAACCAAATACATTCTTGAGATGCTTCATGTAAGGGAATAATTTTTGCATGGTTGAATGAAGTTGAAGTTATAGTTTGCTTCACTGATTTCCATGATATTGTAGCTCCATGTCTTAAGAATACATAGCTTGTTTGAGATTTAGCTATTGCAATATCAGATTTATATCCTGCATCAAAGTATCCAACTAATTTTAGATCTCTAGATTGTGTGTAGTATAATCCCAAATCTTCAATGCCTTTTAAATAACATAATAAATATTTGATGCCATTCTAATGTTGTAGTATTGAACATGTACTATGTCTTCGAAGAACACTAACTGCAAATATAATATCTAGTCTAGTAAATGTTGCTAAATACAAAAGTACTCCAATTGCTGTGAGGTATAGATATTGCTCTTCCAATATTTCTTCCTTCTCGTTGCATAGACGATATGGATCATGACCATCACAACCATGCCCAACCATTGGTTTTGACAATGGATAAGCATCAATTATATTGAATCTTTGTAAGATTCATCTAATAAACATTAGTTGATAGAAAAAAAATGCTACCATCTGTGAGATGCATAATCTAAAGACCAATGCAAAAAGTTATTTTTTCTACCATTTTCATCTCAAATTCAAAGATAAGTAGGTTAGTAGCTGCAATGCATGCAGATCTAGTACCCACTAGATTAAGATCATCAACATATATAGCAATGATCATAAAATCAAATTTATCTTGTTTAATAAATAAAAAAGAGATTAGTAGATCACTTACAAGTTTATTTATAATTAAATAAACTTGAAGACGTTGATACCACATGCATCTAGATTATTTTAGACCATATAAGGCCTTGTATAATTTAATACCACAATATCATCTTAGAGCACGTTCATTTGGAGTTCTTGTTTTTAAATCAGGTAGAACTTTCATATAAATATTTGTATCAAGTGAGCCATATAAATATACAATTACCACATCTATGAGACATATCTCAAGGGTGGCATGAATTGTCATTCTAATAATATATTGGAATGTAATTGAATCTATGATTAGAGAATATGTGGATTCATAATCAATGCTAAAATGTTGGGCAAATCCTTGAGCAACAAGGCGAGCTTTATAGTGAATTATTTGATCTTTAGCATCTCAGTTGAGTACTAATACCATCTTATATCCCATAAGGCGAGAAGTAAGAGTGTCTACAATTGGACCAAAGACTTTTTTCTTATACAAAGAAGCATATTCCTCCTCAATGATAATTTTCTATTTTAATGCATCACATCTTGAATGGTTTGATATTCAAGATCTTCTTTCTTGTAAGAAAGAGCTTTTGCCATGATGAATGCAAATAATTCATCTATTATAATAGATGGTCTATTTCAAAGGTCATTTATAGCAAAATATAAAACAAATAATTTGATACTCAACTTGATTTTATTCCTCTTAATTTCAAGATATTTTATTATATGATGTGAAGGTATAATGTGAATAGAAATATTTTCATTAATTGATGGTCCCGTAGGTTTATTAGGAGCTTCCATATAAACAATACTAGAATCACCACTCGTTATAGCTTTCTTCTTTTGTGGTTCTTTTAATTGCTGATGTTTTAATCTGAGGTGTATTTATTAGTGATATTTCAATCTGAGCGAGTTCATTCTGAGCCTCATTAATTGAAACTCTTGTAATCTAAGGCACATTATTGAAGCCATCAAGTGTTTCATTTGTGATCTATTTTAGATACAAAATTTTGGCAACTTCATTTCTACCCAAAGATGTTTTACGATTAGGATTCATTGTAAATATTTTTAGTGCTTTAAATACAAGTATTTTATTATTTTGTTGATTAAATACTCTTCTTCAAAGAAATGAAAATATGTTCTCTTCAAAATGGAAATTTTAAAAAAGTACACATAATAATGTGACATTTGAATGGTCAAATATGCAAATAATGCTTGGTAAATCAAAACCAACATATATGCCTTCTTATTAATGAGCTCCAATGGTACATTGTTGAGGTTCTGGTATTGGAATCCAAGTATGGCCACTAAATACCCATAGGTGAGATATATTTGGAATACGATCTAAAGTGAGCTCTTATAGTGTAATAATTTCAAGAAAAGAAAGATAGAAGCCTATTAATGCTGTAATATGAAAAACTGCATGATTTCACATAGATGTAGGTAAATTTGTATGTAGAAAGAGTGGCAAGGTAATGAATTGTATACACTTTATAAATGATTTTGTTAGTCCATTTTGAACATGTTCATATAGAACACAATATGTCAATTCAATCCTTGTTGTAGTGCAATAGTCTTCAAAGGATTTTGACACAAATTCTTTTGCATTGTTCATATGCAATGTATTGATAAGATAATCAAGAAAATGTGCTTAGAAACAAATAAGCATAGATATAAGATTAGCAAACACCATGTTTCAAGATGATAATAATGAGACATGTGATTGTTTGCTTGATACATCAACAAAGACAAAAGAAAAACCAAATAGTCAAGATATTGGATTAATAGGACCACAAATATCTCCATGCAATATTTCAAGCATTGGTGGTAATTCTTGTAGGAGTTTCTAAATTAAAAGCTGAGCAATCATCTTGCATGATACACATGCAAGATATAATTCCATAGAATTTACATCTGCAGGTTTTAAATTATCGCTAGTTATACATAGAATTATCTTAAAAAATAATGTAGATCTTAGATGTTTGATTCATCCATGCCAAAGAAAAATGTGACTCTTTGTGATAGATGATGCAAAATTAAATATTATACGAGGTCAGATTGTAATCCGGTGTAAACCATTTGTCACAATAAAGGCTTTTTCTACAACTTTATGGTTCTATTCAAAAATCAAAACTTCTTGCCTATCTAATATTACGTTTGAGAGGTGATAACCATTGGCATGCATATCTTGATAGTTGATCAGACTTCAACGTATTGTTAGTACAAACATTGTATGTTTATATTTTTTAATAAAGCCTGCAGGCAATTTTACCATCACTGTTCCTTTTTAGAAATAAATTATATTTATTCCAACCATAATTATCAAATTTTTAGTTTTCCACATTGAAGATTTTTCAATAAAAAACCGTCTATCTTGTAAAATGATATGTGTTGTTGCAGAATTAATGAGCACATCATTTGATTCATCATTAGAGGTTTTGTCATTCATATAAGCTTCTAAATCATCAACACCAATTGAATCCATGGACGCATCTTTGGTATGAACTTCACGACCCACATCTCAAAGTTTCTTATTTTTTCAAAATATTTTAACAAATATTCTGAAATATTGCATATATGTGCCAAATATCCAATCATTCCATATTTATGGCAAGAACACATCTTTGATTTTTTTTTCCACTATAATTAATTGTAGAACGTTTATTCTTTCTACATGGATGGAAATGAGCACAACCATGATTGATCTAAGCTTTTGGACATTTTTTCTATGTTTATATAATTTTTTCTTAGACTTTGGAATATTAAGTGCATGAGATTCTAGAACCATAGTTGCAATAGGATGAGCTTCTGCATTGTGTAAGAATAGTTTGTTTTGTTTCTCCACAAAAAGTAGATAGGACATGAGATCAAGATGATTCTAAAATTTCATATTTCTATATTATTGTACAAGTACACTAGATGCAAGATGAAATGTAGAGAGTTTTTTCAATCATTTCTTCTTCAAAGATACTTTGTCTACATAACCATAGTTATGAGACAATATAATACATTTCACTATTGAAAGTATTTAAATTTGGAAAATCCAAGACATGTAAATATGTCCAATCATGACGTGCATGCGGAAGGAAAATTGTCTTTTGATGATTAAATCTAGATTAACGATTCTACTAGAGCTTGGTTGAATCTTCTATTTTTAAATATTGATGGTACAATACAGATACAAGTTGTCGACAAAAGAGAAGAAGTGCTTTTCAATGGATAGCAATAGGAATTGAAGTACTTATAGTAGGAGATTCTTCAAACAAAATTACATCCAATAGTTGTTCTGCAAATAAATTTGCTTTTGTCATTTTTACCTATAATAGATAATTATTTCTATCAGTAGCCAATAGTGAAAATAGAAGAGCTTGAAAATGTTGGGATGGAGTGGTGATAGTTGGAAATATAGTAGAGGTAGTTGAGGATGTTGAAGCATGCATTATAAATAAATTTGTGAACAAAAATACAAGTTCAAGAAGAAAAGGTTGAGTAAAATGCTCCTTAAAATGTAAAGCCAAATAAAATGATAAAGTTGAAAGTTGAAATCAAAAATGTTAAAAAAATTTAGGAATTTTTTTTTTTTTTCATAAAAATAAGCGTCTATGGTGGACTACAGCAGTTTGGCGAGATGATGTATTAATTGGCAGCAATTGGCAGTAAGGTGCATTAGTTGACAGTAGTTAATAGCAGAGTACGGTAGTTTGGTAGCAATTGATAGCAGAATGTGGTAATACAATAGTAGTAGCAAAACAAGATAACAATAGCACAATAGCAACAGCTTAGGAAGAAAAAAAATTGAAGAAAAAACGAAGAATAAAATACACCAAGTTTTTAAGAATCAAGACTAGAGCATAAGAGCAATCATATTGATAAGGTGTTGAAAATGTTTTTAAGAGAGAGAGAGACAAGAGTAGCTAGAAGTAATATGTACACATATGTAAATATACTCATACACAAGAAGTGAGTTTATTGATAGAGTTATATCTCTTGTACAAAGAGAAGGAGAGAAGATAAACAGTTTCTCTCCACTACATTCTAAACACTATAGCTACAATAAATATTGTAGACTATAATAAATAGCATAGAGAGCACCAGCTACATTTAATGCTCTCAACAGTTATGTTCTATGATTCCATCTAAAGTACATGCCTCATACAAAAAATACATAACAAACAAACAGAAAAAATTGCCCCATAAAGCATGTTATTTAGCTTTTTGAATAGCATTAAATCCAAAAACCATGTTCCAAATTCATATATAATTTCAAATAAAAACAGAATTTAAACCAATTACCAAAACCCCCACCATTGACCTATACCGAAGCCTATCTGGGCCCCATGGCCGCGGGTTCCGGGACCACGGACTAAGGATCGAATTCAGGCCACGGTATTGGGATGCGACACGTGGACCTGTGCTCCTGGAATACGGTCTTAGATGGGACCGACAACACGGTTTTGGATGATTCTTCGCTGCCCGCGGTCACGGGGCGGCGTTAGACTTCGCGACTTTACCGCGGCACCGAAGCCGCGCCGCGAGTGTCGGTGTCTTTTCCCATCGCAGAATGGACGAGGCCTCGCAATGGGACAATCGCCGTTATGGTGTGGATCCGTTTTCCAGGTCCATCCGAATGGACGAGAGCGTTGCTGATCTGTAGTCTCATCCATCGCGCAAGCTGCCCACACCCCGACACCCCATAACCTTGAAGCCGTAGCTTATTCAGCTTGAGATTGCGAGTTTTTGCATCGATATCTGTAGGTTAGAACCCGCTTGTGTTTTGCGGGATTTCGAAGACTTCTGATTCTGTGACTGGGTTCTGGGGTTAAGCATGGCCACCATCCAGTCGATTAAGGCTCGCTCCATTTTCGACAGCCGTGGCAACCCCACTGTTGAGGTGCTGTGTGCCGTTTGTGCTGGTTTGGAGTCATTGAGGTTTTGGGTTTGCGACGGTGTGGGGTCTTCGTGGAGCTGTAAGTTGTGATAGTTGGCTGTCGGTGACTTGCGGGATATGTGTGAATTGATGGGATTAGAGCCCGTGGATTAGTGTGTGTGTTGAGTTTATTTTTTGGTGATTTCGGAAGAGGGTGGGCGGAAGTTTGAACGTTTTGTGGGGGTTTTTGTTGGTGAGCAGGCAGACATTCTCTTGTCCGATGGATCGTGGTACAGAGCGGCAGTCCCCAGCGGTGCTTCCACCGGTTAGTTCCTCCCCCTGCTTTCATGCTTCTCGCTTTTAGCTCGATACCGTTGGTCTGGTCTTTTGTTTTTTGTTTTGTTTTGTTTTGTTTTTTTTTTGTTTTTTTTGTTTTTTTTTGTTTTTTTGTAAGCTTCATTGTGTGCAGGACCTGGGTTTCTGGTGGATACAAATGCGAGCTTTGAAAAGGAAGCACTTTCGGCTCTCTGAGGCTTTGTGAGGACTGGTCATTCTTGTATTCATTTGCGTTTTATTTATTTATTTTTTGGTTTTTGCTTCTTGAAGGCGTTTACGAGGCTTTGGAGTTGAGAGACGGAGGGAAGGACTACATGGGGAAGGGTGTCCAGAAGGTGAATGTTTTGCTCCTATTTTTCGTAGATCTCGCTAAATGCATGTGTATTTGAGTTGATACATTGTACCATTTGGTAGAAAGCAATAAAAAGTGATCGACGATCTCATCGGTATTACAATACCTTGCTTCTATTCAGATTTGGGGAGGTATGCGGGTACTTGCACTAATCTGTTTTGTCGTGATGGTAGGCTGTGGACAACGTGAACAACATTATCGGCCCTGCCCTTGTCGGAAAGGTACGCGTTACGTCGTGGCAATGCAGGTTCCCGTCTTTTGACTTGTGAATAACATTGCGCATTTGGGTTAAAATATTAACACGCCTGCACGATTTTTCAGGACCCTACAGATCAAACTGGAATTGACAACTTCATGGTTCATGAACTTGACGGTACCCAGAACGAGTGGGGGTGGTGCAAGCAGAAGGTGTCAATCTCTGGCCTTGCTCAAATCATTGGTGCAGAATTTGGGAGACTGATAACCTGGAGGTCTAGAAATCAGGGATGTGCTTAGGAATAGCTGACGATCAGGAATATGTAACGAGCACGGCTTGTGGCTCTATGGTCTGACAAGTATCTTACACTGTATTATGCAGTTGGGAGCCAATGCTATTTTAGCAGTGTCACTGGCTGTGTGCAAGGCTGGTGCTGGAGTGTTAAAGACTCCACTTTACCAGGTTAGCTCTTTCTCCTCCTTGATTTAATTTCTCTCCGCGCCTACCAGTGTTGCTCAAGCAGTTTTGTCTTGAACGTTAGACAATTTAAATCCTTGGTTGACTTCTGACGGCAAGTTGGGTGTACTCAGCACATTGCCAACCTGGCTGGCAACAAGGAAATTGTGATGCCAGTGCCTGCCTTCAACGTGATCAATGGTGGATCTCATGCTGGCAACAAGCTCGCCATGCAGGTCCGCTCCTTCCTGATCGTCGACAATTAGTATCCCTCCTACTTGTCTAATTATCAGGTATCTGGGGGTGCAATGGGGACGTAATGTGTTTGGACGAGGAGAGATATGAGTTACAAAAGAGTTAGTTTCACGGCAGGTCTTTTGGAGATCCTGTCTGGAGTTGTATTTAGTTTCAGCTTCTGAACATTATCTATGCCCGTGCTAATGCTCGACGTGTACATTACAGGAGTTCATGATCCTGCCAACTGGCGCGTCGTCCTTCACGGAAGCCATGAAGATTGGCTCTGAAGTTTACCACAACTTGAAGGTAATGGGCTGCTATCTTCATTCTTTCCATGAGTTTTCTCTTGGATTAACAGATGGGATGTACTATAAATGTGCGGTTTGCATTCGCTTTGGAAAGACTGCCCGACCAATCGAATGTTTCGTTCTCTGTAGGCTGTGATCAAGAAGAAGTACGGACAAGATGCCACCAACGTTGGGGATGAGGGTGGTTTTGCTCCTAACATTCAGGTGTGCACCCTAGTTTTGGATATGTCATTACCGTTTGTGTGAGAGTGTTACTTTTTCGAACGTCAAGCAAAGTACACAACCGTAAAACAGTGAAAACGGGCTTTCTGAGATTGACTGCACGAGATTGTGTAACTTGGTACTTGTTTATATTGGATATTCGGTTTTTCCTTGTTTTGTATACCAAGTTTCGGTGGAATTGAGACGTGCTTGACTCACAGGATAACAGAGAAGGTCTGGAACTGTTGAAGACTGCCATAGCGAAGGCAGGCTACACCGATAAGGTCAGTTGATCTCGTTACATAAGATCCATCCGAGGGTTCATATGTGATTGCTCTGTCCAAATGTTTCAACATTCCGATGTGATGCCACGAGTTCCTTCTTCCTCCTTTCTTTCTTGTTTTTTACTTCGATTCTTTTGGTCGTAAAAATACTTACGTACTATAATTTCCATGTATGTTTTCTGAGTATGTTGTTTCTGCACCTCTCAACCAGGTGGTGATCGGGATGGATGTAGCTGCGTCTGAGTTCTACAACGAGAAGGAGAAGACCTATGATCTCAACTTCAAAGAAGATGTGAGTATGTTGGTTCTTGGGAATGTGGTCTTTAAAATCCAATATTCATCCTTGCTAGAGGAAGTATTCCTGGACATGTCGTCCTCGTATTTATTCTCATGCCTGTATTCGTTGTATTACGTTTTTGTAATTGTAAAACCCTTATGTATATTCGACATTCTGAGAATCCTCTTCGAAATGTGTTTGGTATGGTTGATGCTTACAAGGAGTCATTGACATTGAACAGAACAACGACGGCAGCTCAAAGCTGAATGGAGACGAATTCATTAAGTTGTACGAGTCTTTTGTGGAGGAGTACCCTATTCTCTCGATTGAGGACCCCTTTGACCAAGATGACTGGGCTCATTACAGCAAGATTAACGAGCTGATGGGCGACAAGGTGCAAATCGTCGGTGACGACTTGCTGGTCACTAACCCAAAGGTGCAGTTCCATCTCCTGTCGCGTTCCCATTGGTACTTGACCCGAAGCAGGCATTTTGTGATGGTGCATAAGTAGTATGAATGTTAGTCAGTACCTTACTGATGAAGGTTGGTGCATTGTGTTGTTTTGGTTGCAGCGTGTGGCTCATGCCATCCAGCACAAGGCATGCAACGCCCTTCTTCTGAAGGTGAACCAGATTGGGTCAGTTACAGAAAGTATCGAAGCTGTGGTTATGGCGAAGAAAGCGGGGTGGGGTGTGATGACGAGCCACCGCAGTGGAGAGACGGAGGACAGCTTTATTGCAGACCTTGCCGTGGGGCTTTCAACAGTGAGTGAATGCTGAGCATAGAAGCAGTCTTTTTGGGTTTTGTTGTTATGGTGATGTTGGCTGTGCATAGATATGGTGAGATGTTCCAGTCGTATGAAGAGTATGGTACCGACGATTGGTGAACGATGCAGGGTCAAATCAAGACCGGAGCGCCATGCCGATCTGAGAGATTGTCCAAGTACAACCAGGTTTGTTGATGCTATAATCCTTGCTTTGCAGTATGATGCATGAGTTGCCTATGAAGTTTGTTCATGAAATTGGGAAATGGACTTTGAACACTCACTTTCTCACGGTGATTGTATTGTGCAGCTTCTGAGGATTGAGGAGGAGCTTGGTGACAAGGCTGTCTATGCCGGTCTCAAGTTCCGCAAGCCTGCTGAGCCATACTAGAGCTCTGGTATCTGGTTAGTATCTTATTGTTTGTTTTTGAGAGAGGCATGAGCTAGATTGTAATCGTAAAACGGTGCTGCTGATAGGCTAAGGTGTCCTGCAGCCCACATGAGGATCGATGAATGAATGAATCAGTCAATTACGAAATTTTAATTTCATTTTTAGAAAAGTTGTCTTTTAAATGTGTTAGTTGTTTTGCATGTTCAAGCTCCGCATCAACTAGGAGGTTGTGTATGGTTGAATCGAGTCGGCTGAATTTGTAAAGGTAGTTTATTCTGCTATTAATTGTTTTATTTTCACCCCTCACGAAACGAAAAATTAAAGAATAAGATTTTGGTATCGTAAAGTTCACAATATCTTTTCGCAATTTTAAACATTTTCCAAGATCAATATTACACTTGATGTACCCGTTACAGTGAACGAGATTATGATGTTTAATCAGATAATTTAGCTTATTGTCTTTAATTTGATATCAAATAGTATCAATGACTGAAGCTTTTTCCTTACTTCTAAATGTTTTTATTGTTTTATAACAAAACTGTATATCTCTCTCTCGCTATATATATATATATACATATATATTTATATATATACACACAAACATCTCTGGATTGTTGAACTTCTTAAAATTTTCTCTCATTAAGTATCCACTCAAAATGCATGTTCGTTGTGTGGAGAGGATTTTAAGAGAATTCCCAACCTTAAGAAATTCTTTTCGAAGTGTTAAATCGTACCTAATGAACAAGCCCGTCTAATGTCGGACATTGTCCTTAATGCTCTTCTCATTTATGTAAATTTATTTAATCTAGAAAGATAATAATCGTGCTTTGAATGCAAAGCTGTCCCTCTTTTACAGGTGTAGCACTGAAACCATCTATCATGTTCTATCAATGTCCTTTACTTAAAAGCTATGCTTTATATTACGTAATATAGCACAATTGTAACAGTGACGTACGGTTAATTATTAATGAAAAGATTCATGCCTTAAACCTTTGTTGCTAATGAAAGCCTTCATCCTCTAAATCCATCAACTGAGTCCTGGAAGTGAATAATTTATTTCAGGCAACCTTGACCACTGCTGCATTTCTACATTCTCCTCACACAAAAGATCAACAATAACGCCACAATTCCATGACATCCTCACTCTAAGTGCTCAGGAGCATGAGGTCAGTGACATTCAGTACACAGTTGCACAACTGCTCTACGTCAGAGTATGTGCCCATGTGGGTCTTTTGAAGATAAGAAGAGAGACTAATAACCTCAACAAAACCTTGTCAGGCCACGCAATCGCTAGTTTTCCAGTAAAATCTACTACATAGTTCATCTGTAACGACTCAACCATCACTCAAACACAATCTCCACCCCCTTCCTGTGTAAAGATGCGAGAACATCTTCAAAGTTCACGAAGTCGAAGAGACCAGTAGTAGAGCGAAGGGAAAATTAGCGAGACGTTCTTGGGTTCTGTAAGTGGAAAGAATCCATGCAGGAATTGGGACTGGAGAGGATGGCAACTAGATTCAATTGCTGTTAGAGAGGGGGCTGAAGCAACTGCTGTGCACAACTGTCTTTTAGTTTTTTATTTATTTTTCCTTCTGAAGACAACATTTGAGATTCCTTCCGACTCTTTGCAATTCGAGCTCAACCTTGTTGCATCCGTCAAGCTTCGCGGAAGAATTTGAGGAATCGAAACATCATCAACCCATTGTGCCAGACGACGAAAATTGCGAGAAGTGGTGGCCTGTCACCACTCCACTCTCCTAAATAATTTCGACCTCCATACGGGGCAGGATTTGTTGTCTCTCACCTAGAAATTTGGGCCTCTCACAGGAAGGGAGGCGATGTGTGTTTTTTAGGTTCGTGGATTGAGGAGCTTTGCAGAGTGGGTATTGTTCGTCTCCCCACCCACTTATTACAACTCGGGATCCTCGTTTTCTTCTGATGAGACAGTGACTATGGCGGAGAAGACGACGAAGAAAACCATGAAAAGGGAAAGAGAGGGAAGCCCTATGAGGACTGTCTCCCTGCACCATTTCCACGACACTGAGAATTCCCAGTCCTTGGACGTTTCCTGCTCCGAGGTTTGCTCATCGCTTCTTTTCTGTATTCGAACTTTGAGCTAGAAGCAACAATTTGATGTCTCTTGCCAACAGAGTCGTAGGTCGCATCTGGTGGCATCTCGTCACCTCAACTATGGTTAGAAATGAGAACAGTTGTTGATGAATAATCCAAATCTTCGAATACACGGTATCTGTATGCACGGTAGACACTTTGGCATGCGTTGTTCAACTTCAATGCTTGCTTAATTCAATGCAGGTAATGCAAGAGGAGTATGGGCTCTATGTGTGGCCTTGCAGCGTAGTGCTGGCAGAATACATCTGGCAAAATCGTCAGCGATTTGTCGGCTCGAGGGTTATTGAGGTAGGCATCAATCTCCAACTAGCCTCATCTCAGAGCGCTTCTAGTACCCAAAATTTTGCAGCCCTCTATGTACTCAGAGAATTCAGCGCGTGTTCTCTTTTCTGGTCAAGACAGCAAGCCGTGGTTGCTCGATAGAATTGGCAGGCGAGTAACAGTCATAGCCTACCTTGCCCCTGTGCAAGCAACTAAGTGAGACGCAGTTGGGCGCAGGTACCGCTTTGCCGGGTGTAGTGGCCGCCAAAGTTGGAGCCTCTGTTGTGCTAACGGATCGGGAAGATCAGCCCCAGGTATGTTCTTACAAGCTGCCCCTGAAGCCCATCTCATCACGATTATACTTATCAGGAAGGAGATCTTGAGTAGGCTCCAATATGGAATTGGACTGTCATGTCGCATCACACGGTTGGAGTTCTGATTGTTAGGTCAAACATGTCCTTTCCAGGTCTTCGAGAACATGCAAAAGACATGTGACTTAAATCAGATCACCTGTGAGGTATGCCTGCATTTCAAGGCAAATCCTGTTTTCGAAGTTTCGCCATAGCCTTCAATTCGTTACCCTTACAAGTTTTTTGGATCCGAGGACGGGGTATCGCCACTGCCCATGTCTGCAAACAAGCACGGAACTATGTCGGTCTAGTCTTGGAAATCTTCTAATTGTCTCTGATTGTTTAAGCCTCGTTTAGCAAGGATGTTATCGTATGGATCTCTCCATCTGTGTATCGTTAGCGCTGAAGCTGGCCCATTCATGTTCTCAGATGCAAAGGTTGACCTGGGGTCAATGGAATGACAAAGCTTTCGCTCTACGACACCCCGGTCAGGTTGTACTGGGTGCAGACGTCCTTTACGCAAGCAAAGGTGCGTATATCATCCGTTACAATTAGCTCTCTTCTTCTGCAGTTTAGTTTCCCTGACTTATTTCAAGTATCACACATTTCCAAGCTAGTAACTGTATTAAATCACGGATACGAGCCAGGACATTAATACTCACCCATTCATGCTTTGGCACTTGGTATCTACAGATTTCGATGACCTGCTTGCCACCGTCAAGTTCTTGTTGCTAGGAATGCCAGATTCTGTCTTCATCACCACATATCAACCTCGCAGGTTTGACTTTCCTCGCTTTCTCTGCTTGCATCCCGTTGTTATAATTTTATTTTATTTATTTTTACAATAATAAATGAATAAAAACCTTCGTAAGAATAGAAAACCATCACCTCATCAGCACACGATTGTTTCCTCGATTGCTGCAGCGGCCACAGGTCCATTGAATACCTGATGGCGAAGTGGGGCTTGCAATGCACCCAGCTTCTTGACGCAGCAGACTTTCTTCCTGCATCGAAGTTGTCCGCTTTGTCGAACTCAGTGGAGCTTGTCGAGGTGAAATCCCACAATTGACGTATCAATGTACAAGTCATGCAGGTGTATCTACCACTACCATCACCAGTTGTCGAGGCAGTGCTACTGTTAAGTATCTATCGATCTATCTATGTGCACTTGTGTAATTTTGCAGTGACTATGGTGCCGGTGTGGCTTGCTTCTGGTTTGTGACCGGTCAATGTAAACACAACATCACCCTGATCTCGTTCGGTGTTCTGAACTCACTTCAATTGATGGATTAGCTCCACAATGGTACTGAATCAGACTAAATTTTTCTTTTTTGTATATTGAATAGGCAACCATTTACGCTCAAAATCCTGGTATTCGTAGAGAGATCTTCTATGATGGCTACTTTGAGAAGGAATAAAAGGAAAGGAAATAAAAAAAAGCAATGGTGAAAATAAAACACAACATATTCTTTACTTGTTTTTCGCGCTTCCCGAGGTATTGGTGTTCTCGAGCGTTCCCATGCATTGGTGGCATAGAAAAACCATTTTTCGCTGATCAGCATGCCGTGGTTAAATGGAAGTGCTCAGAACAGTTCACCAGCTCACTTGACTAGACCAGTAGCAATAACCCAAATGTGGAAGCGGTTCATACGAGGACAAGAAGATGTATTATACAAAGTTTCATTTGGTGCTTTATTATATGAATGATATAACCATATGATAGTACCACAGTATGAAATAATAACTTCTGTATAAGTATATATGAACTTTCTCATAGTAACAGTATTTGTATCTGCATAACAGAGACGCTATGGTACATCAAAGAGTTGTACGCGAGCATTAGCATACGTACCACTCTCTCTCTCTCTGAATAGTGATTCAGTCTCACCAAAGCCAACTTCCATTGACTCCTGTAAACCAGCAAGTGGGGCTGGTGCACCGCTCTGAAACATCTAACCACCCTTCTGCCGAAAGTGATCTTCAAGACGCAGAGCTTGAAGTACGGCTGGAAGTATATGCTTCCAGTGGTGACGCCTAGCAGCACTGGAGCAGATATTCTGGGATGAGTTTCAGTCGCTATTCCTGTTTGGTTGTTGGTAGTTCACCCATAGAATACATTAGTAGTTGTAACAGTGCCACCCTTGATCTGTTATTTACACTTAAGGTTTGTAAACACTGCTCTCAAGCCTATGCCTCTTGTACCCATTTCTGAGGCCGATCCTATTTATACACAGGTAACGGACTTCGAAGGGGGGGGGCTTGATATCCGCCGAATTTTTGAACTTGGGCTTTTGAAACTTCAGTGCAACAGCGACCATGTTTGCTGATGACTAGGAATGTTTCCTTCCAATTTGGCACATACGGTTCCGCAACAAGGCATTGATAACAGGCTTTTTCGCAGGAAGGAGCCCTTATCAAGTTCTTCTGCATGATTCAATATCGAATTCCTTATTTACATGTAGGAAAGATGTACGTATCAAGCCCAAAGAGGAGCCCTGTGCGGTATGCCCTTCCTTCTTTTCGCAACCCGAAGTACATTCGAACGTGGTGGTGTCCTTGGTGACATATCGACCACAAGCTGTACAGGCGCTGAGCCATTTTTGTCACCAAAACGCCCTGAAGTCACTCCTGGTGAAGATTGTCCGACTTTTTCATGATGCAACGTCCGTCCCTTGAACGTTGTGTCCTCCATGGTTTCGTGATCTGTATCCGAGCTCTCGAAGCCTGTATGAGATAGAGGTGAGGATTGTAACTGTGAAACTTTTCTCGACCGTGGGGCCTTCTTGTGAGTAGAGTCTTCCGAGTCTGAAGGCCCACGTACGTTCGTGCTAACTACACCCTGTGCTTTTGGTTGTAGAAAGAAAGAGAGCTCCTTGTGCCTCTTGATTCCTGCAAGCTGGAAAGACAGAAAATTGTCAGAAAGCGAATACAAGTGCCCTTCGGGATTTGAAAAAGATGCAGATTAATTCTTCAACCTTCATCACAAACTAACGATGCGGCAACTTTCCTTTACCTGGCTATCTATCGCAATCTAACTAGCAATATCTTCACATCTCCAATTCTCCAGCGTACATAAGCTGAGCTAGTGACAATTGCAAGGGTGCTACGATTTGATTGCGATTGCAAGGGTATGACTTCATCACTACTATAATCAAGGACATAGAATGCTGGAATCAAGCATTTTTGTAGAGCTTTCTCAGTGGAATCTTTGTAGATGATAAAGAATAAAAACCTTTGGTTGGTTTGGAACGTGAAAAGAAAAGTAGAAGACCTAGTAACTTCTCAAAATCCCGTACCTTACATCCTAAGGAACAGAATCGAAACGTGTCGAGCAGGCTTCGCTCACACGTCTCGCAAGTGTTAGTCACGCCTTTGGCCGGCCGTGGTTGAGGCCGTTCATTCAGAAACACCACACGCGCACTGTTGATAATGTAAGTCTGTACCGTTGAGATGTCCAACAGCTTCTGAATTTCGGAAACGCGAATGACATCGTGGTAAGACGACCTCCGGATCTACAGCATTATCGCGCAAAAACAATGTGAGTAGGTCAACCTATCAAAAGTAGTTCACTTGGGCTTCCAACACACAATCTAGACCTCGCAGGGTACGCCCACCTATCAAACAAACTTGATTTCAAGACATGGTCTACGTATTCAACATCGTTTCCGTTTCCACGGACAGAGGATTCCAAGCGCAAAATCCAGTAACAATTGGTTGGCAATTTCTTAAGGTTTTTCACATGCAACGAAATGTGTTGGTATATAGCTCGGACTAATTTAATGCGGACTCACACACAATATGGGCGTATTGCGTACAAATCTACCCTTTCTTTCAACCTAAAGCAAGTCTCTTAAGACAACCAAGAACTTAGACATTACAAGGAATAACTGCATAGAAATTCGTGTTGGTAATGAGCATTCGTACTTGAACAACGTGGTGATCCTTGTGATCAACTGCACAAGAAGCACAAATACCATCACCCATGCAGTTGAAGCAAAACAGATTGCATTCGCTCTTAGTAGAAACACCATGTATTCCGCAAGTAGCAAAGAAATCCGCTTTCAGCAGCGGTTTCAACCACAGTGGGCCCTCAGCAAGATTGGTATCTTCCTCCGCCATCACCGGCCCTCCCTGCATGATTCCAACGGGGAAATGTATTGTAATGAGAATCTGCGATAGATGCGAATTCACAAGCCTAATTGAATGAATAACATCACGACCTTGCAATCGTGAAGTACGAAAACATTAACAACTTTGGTAGATGATGCAATTGAGGATGAAGACAAAGTCAAAATCTCTTTCAAAATAGAGCTAAAGACGGTTACGGATGTGCATTTGCAAATACTTCGAACTAGGCATATTTTACAGGGTTCCAAAATTGTTTGATACTTCCTTTCAACGATATTAACACAGCGGACATGCTGCTGCCTCCTTTTCTATGATCCCTAAGCTAACCGTTTCAACTTGAGGCATTCCTAGCATTGCACCCGAGGCATCTCCTCTTTCTTCTTCTTCTTCTTTTTATTTTTTATTTTTTTTTACTAGCTTCGACAAGGATTTTGCAACTTCCGCTTGGGAGAGGCAACACACAGAAAACGACCACACAAGGTTTCCGAAAGTTCGAAGAATGTACTGAACACGACATTTTTGACGCTGCAGAAGTGGTGACGAGAGCTAGATGCAGGCAACAAAAACATGTGTGCTATGATGAGGATAACTGACGTGCCTGCACAGCATGAAGTTCCGCAGTCCGCGAAGGAGAAGGGCTCACCATGTTCTTCGTCTTCTGCGACCTCAGGAGCCCAGCAGACTCTGGTTGTGCTGCCGGGATCGCCAGCTTTGACTTCCCTCCTTCCGACAACCACACGGTAAATTGCGCAGGAATTGTACTCGTGTGGGCTGGTTAAACTCTCGAGCTTCTCTCTCAGCAGGCCGTCGATCACCCTTGCATTTCTTTCTTTTATAAATTATCTCTTCCAGATAAACCTTCTTATCAGCTGCTCCCTGGATTCTGCTTTCCAGAAATTCCCACAGAACGACACTAGAAGTTGATGAAAGTAGCCACCACTGAGGCAATTTCCATTTCGCTGCAGACTATTACTGCTTTCACCTCCAACTGCTCGAAAACGATCGACAGAATTTCCGTTCTCGGTCGTTTTTGTATCTCCTTAAGTCGAAATTGTTGGGAAGAATATAGAAAGAGGTATGAAAGTCATAAACAATTGAATATTATCGACGTAATTTGAGGCTGTTCACATGCGAGCATTGTTCCCGCTGTCTACGTAATGAATGATGGGATTGCTGCCATGTGAGGAGGTCCTCGGATATCCATTTCTTCAAGTTCTGAAAATCTCAAGCAAGAGTGACGCGCCTACTTCTCACAAGATTGTCTAATGAAAGCACGAGATATTCTAGCACATTGTAGCTCAGCACAAAGCCACAGAATGCAAAGCGCAAGCAGGACAACTAGCACTTTGATCTGCTAACAAAATACGAACAGACTCTGCTTTATTTCACTCAACCAATTCTTCTAGAGTACGTGCGAAACATGAAAATCTGCAGGGATCAACGCGGTGGGACTGTCATCCGCTCTCGCGCAGCAATGCAGGTGCCCAGTAACTGCGATGGAAGGGAGGATCCTGACCAGGACACCACTACAATACGAAACGCTTATCAATTCACTCAGTGGATTCTCTGTAGCACTAATTCTGCCACATCGCTCACGACGCGACCAGAGGAGGACAGAAGATTCTGATTCTTCGAAATAAACTACTAGATGTGCCGACGTAGCACCTAATTGACAATGCAGCAAGAACTCAGGGGCGAAGTGTACAAAACCTTTAGAGGCATGTCATGAACTCTCTGAGGTACTATTCCGCACAATTGTCAAGATCCAGCCGACGAATTCGACAACACCAAACGAGTGCTATATCACACAACGTCCTAACCGATACGCAAGGTTCAAACTACACTCCAATGTTCCGCAAATTGATGCGAACCTGCGCACTTGCATGTCAAGGTAATGCGGAAACTGCACGAGTTTAAGATAACAGTGCGTCCATCCAGTGCAGGTGCAGAGGATGGTGAGTAATTTACAGGGATGGAAGAAGGGAGGACGTCAAGACGAGGCGGGCGGAGGAAGTAAGCAAGAAAGGAAGACCAGGCATGAAGCGGTGATCGATGTTTGGAAGTGGTGCAATGGAAAGCCGACAAACAAAAAACAACGCAAACAAAAGCCCTCCCTCTATGCTGCGTCAGCACGCCCGAGGCTATGTTCAGGCGCTACACGACGGCGATGGGCGAGGACTGCGACAAGCGAATTGGCATCTGCGAAATCGGCAGGGATGGATGGTTGCTTGCGATGGCAAATTGTCGGAGCATCAAGGTACTGCCGAAGGGCAAAGAGGAAGAATGGATCGATGCAGATAATTATCAAGCGTGGTGGAGGGAGTGTCACCGTGCTGACCAAGTTGCGTGTGGGGCTGGAAGTCTAGCCTCTCGTCTCCGATGGCCCGCCATGGCTACCACAGACAGACAGACTAACAACGCCACATAACTGTTTTAAAAGCAACCATGCCGTCCGAGTCCAAGACAGACAAACTTCCAGGAGCGGAATATCATCGCCAACGATTCGCGGCTCGTTCTCGTCGGGCCAACGACTGGAAACTTTCTCCAAGCACACAAACCCGGAGTTCTTTATTTTATTTTACTGTGGGCCATACTCTGCCAGCGGAAACTACTTTACCCCACACTAGAGTGAAACCTTCAAGTCGAGAAGAATTCTGCTAAAAACCTCAAGAAAAGTTGCCTGGTCGAAAGACGCACTGAAGGCCGCAGCAAGCAAACAGTTCTACGTGCGCCATCATCGTGGCGAGAGTCACTTCGACTTTTCTTGTTTGTCCTTACAGGCAAACGAACAAAGCAAGCGAAAGCGAAGAAAACTCAGTCACTTTGGAAGTGTCTTCAGGCTCAGCCTTTGAACTCAAACCACAGGATTAGATTTTCTTCTTCCTTCCACACAAAGCCATCTCGGATGAGAAAGACGAAGTTACTCCCCTTTTCTATTCCATAAACTTCTCTCTCTCTCATTTGAATAACACTTTCTCCGCGCACATTGTGCTTGGAGCCGGTTTCCACGGCTGGACCTGCATCCACCGTAACCACAGCCCACGGGGACGGACGGATGGCGAAGAAGAGGCCCTCCCTCTCTCCGCCTCCTCCTCCTCCTCTTCCTGCCGTCACTCCACGCATTGCCCTGCTCCATAGCCTCTGCTTCTCCTCTTCTTCCGACTCCTCCAACTTCCTATTCCTTCTTCTCCTTCTTCTTGTGCTTTCCGTCGGACTGCACGCCTTTTCCACGCATGCTTGCTGCTTCGTGCTCGTGGAAGAAGCACACAGCGCTGCTGCTGCTGCAACGCTGCAACGCAAACAAAGCAAGACAGCAAGCTGCAAACCCTAAACCCTAAACCTTCTCGCTGTTACATTCTGTAATCCGCTGCTGTGTTTCAGAACCGTCGATGGTTCCGTTGCCGATTCCAGCCAGAATGGTCGCATTCGTAGGACCCACTTTTCCTATTACTTTTACTTTTTCTATTCGTGCTTTTTAGTTTAAGCAGAGAGAATGTCGTGTATCATGATCGGAAGGTACTGATTCAGTAGAACACGGAACCTCTTTGTTTATTTATTTATTTATTTATTTATATTTCTAGTGTCTGGTTTCTTGTTAGATTAAATTAAAATCTTATGGGAATAATTATTGGTATCAAAAAATCATTGGTAATCAATTCATTTTGGTGCTTTTTAAGATTGTACAATATTTGAATAGTTAACTCCATGCCATTCTAGAGTTTAACAATGATAACAACGTTCACCATGACAAGATTAATTTTATTTTATTTTCCTTCCGTTTCTTGTTTCTTTAACAACCTTTAGTTTTGATTATCACTTGTATCTTGTTAAAATAACAGTAATGTCCCCCAACAAAGAAGCCACTCACTTTAAAATTGGTGAACTTGGTCTTATTAAAATATAAAAAATATAAAATGTATAACTATTAATAAAATTGCTTACTATATATAATAAATGTTATGTATTTTCATGCATGATTTATTTCAGTTTCTCAAAAAAAAAATCCTGTATTACAAACAATTTACTTGAAAAAGCAATCTCTGAACTAAAATTCAACATATTGATATAGCACTCCAGATTTGAATAAAAAAAGTCACTTTCCAATAAAAGTAAGATCCAAAACAAGATTATTTTGCTCTTGAATTAATAAGTATTTGTACATTTTCAATAAACATAAAGAATGCATAAAAATTCATACAGACCAAAATTGAATGTATGTATTCTGGAATAAGCAATTTAAATTGGATGTGTTACCAATTATACACAGAATTCAAAACACATACATATACATATACACATACACATAATTAGTATTATAGATATATATATATATATATATATATATATATATATATTCTTCTAAAAATTACAATAAAATAACATTCAATATAGACAATGAAAGTTGTACAATGTATACATCAAAAGATCCACAAGACAAGCAAGTTAAAAAACACAATATGTAGAAAACACACTCTCTCAAATTGAAGTATAGAGCCTTTTTTATTCTATCAATTGGTCATGTGGTGTAGCATATGGTGTTGGTAGTGTGCCAAACTCCCATGATATGAAGAAAATAAATTAAGAATTAAAATAAATTAAACTAAAGATTATAAAAGTAAAGGAGGAACACAAAGTTGATTCTCGTATGGAGGAGCCGTGGCATGACCATCTTATAAATCTTCTCACCCAAAAAGAATAAGGGAAAGGGAAACATGTTCCCATGACTTGTTACCCCATGGTCTCCGTTCTCATGTTACTAGATATATTGTTAGCGTTATTAGCACCAAATCATGGGGAACCTCAATTTATGCACATCTTGACAAAATTTGCTTCACGTTGAAACTTCTTTAGAAGAATAATAGTAGATTATTAGAGCTCTTGGCTCAAGTGAAAGGACAACACATCTTTGCCACTTCCAATAGACTCTTCTTTGTGGGGTATGACCAAGGGCCCCATGTTGGCCACACATCCATTCTTTACACATAAAACAAAAATAACACACACACACACAATTGGATATTACTTGCAACCAAACTATTATAAAAGGTAAAATAAGACAATAGAAGGTCATTTTGTGTGGTGTTTAAAGCCAATAGGAGCACTAGAAAAGTAAAAAAAACATAAAGAAAAAAGAAGAACTTTGTGAGGTGAATGTAATGAGGGATGAGTGAGTATGCAGGTGGGTTCCACTTTAGATGAGTTATCCTTGTTTCACATTCAAAATCCATGGGTCCCATTTTAACCTATTTTTGCATGGACTATAACAACTCATTCCCATCTTTTTATTTATTTATTTATTTATTTATTGTGTTTTTGGATTAATAGAGATCGTAGATGGTGACCATTTTGTTATTTCCTCTTTAGTAGTAAAAGAAGTAGAAGGCTTTTTTCTATCTCTCACTCCCCACAAGATAGAGATAGACAAGCATCCTTGCATGGAAGGCCACTTCATATAGAAACACATGTCACGTTATGTATCAATTTTTTTTTATATATTTTCTTGGTTTTTTTTTTTTTTTTTTTTTTTTTTTTATTTTAATAAACGGATAGATTCCACCATACCCAATTGCCAAAAAGATAAAATGAAAGGCCAATTCATGACCTTTAATAACCTTTTGGTTCTATCTTCTTCTGTTTTTTACTTTTATTTTTAACTTTTTTGAATTATTAAATAATGCAATATATTGGCTATAGTCTTAATATTATGGACAAGACAAGGATATTCTTCCTTTTGTCATGCCCATGTGGCAAATTGCAATATGATATTGTTGCATTCAAATGTTGCACTTATGGTGTAAAGAATAAAGTAAAATATTGCTTACATAAGGTATTATCCAAAAGGGCTTCTACCATTCATTAAGCCATATAAACTTGTTTGTGTACAATGCAAATTAACAGTTCTTGTGTTAATTATGATTGACATTCATTCAAGTAAGGAACACAGTTAAATTCAACTTAATTTCTAGTGTAAAATTCTTCTGAACCCCCTAAAACTGTTTGCATGTGCAATATTTTCTATAAAAATTTAATTCTAACAAAATGCATTCATGTTACTATATAAATAAATTTTACTCTTTAACAAAACAAGGGTACAAAAAACACACTTTGGAATCCTAAAATGAGAAAAAATAACGAAAAACACAGGAAAAAAAGGATGAAGGATGGCCACCCACATGAATACATAGATTAAAAAAAAAAAAAAATCCAATTTAGAGTGGGAAATTCTTTTTTTTTTTTTTTTTTTTTTTTTTTTTGAAAGGCGTGGATTAAAGTGGAAAGGTTACCGTGATAGCTTTAAAGAGACGCGGAATGCTTTTTGTCCAGCTCGAGAGCCACAACCTTTCCACTTTGGGCGGACGGATGAACTACCTAACGAATGAACATATTCGAATGAATGCAATAATCCGTTCAATTGGATGAAATATTGGAGGTAGTTTCCCGAGTCAATTCACGTGGTACCCCCGCGCAGGTTGTGACAAGTGGCAGCTTCTCGCGGGATGATGACATCACGTCCACCAAAGAGGAAAAGAGAGAGAGGAGAGAGAAAGAATGCGGTGATAGAGTAGAACGCGGGGACCCATAACCGTGAACTCGGGAAGCTCGTGGAAGCTTTGGCTGTTCAAACGTGTGCCATACTAACACATGGAGTTGAAATGAAGATTTACAATTGATTAATTAACCAATTAAATAAATAACTAATTAATTAACTGAATGCCATGTTTTATATGCAAGTTTTTTGATGATTTACTTCGTTTTTTCAAATTCAAAATATTGTATTGAAGTGTTTGATAATTTATTTGTTTCCAATGAGTTTTATTTGAAGAGGGTGTGTTAAAGATCAGTTGCTATCATTTTTGAGCCTTTGTGAACAAAATATTATTTTTTGAATGCTTATTTGAAACTGAAGTTTGATTTCAAATAGAAAATAACGATTTTATACATCGATTGCACAATGGCCCACTTTGGATATGTTTGATTAAAAACTCATTGTTTTTTTTCTTTTTTCTTTCTATTTGTTTATTTATTTTTTTGTTGAGTGTGTTGGGTGAAGTTTTGAATGTACAAAATTTTCATTTAATACACACACACACACACACACACACACATATATATATATATATATATATATATATTAAATACTTCGAAATATATTTTAAAGTGGTCTTTTTCATATTTGTTGCTTAGCTATTGTTTGATAATTGAATAGACTTACTAGATTGTTTGATAATTGAATTGATACTTTGAAAGTTATTACAAAAAAGAATTTGAAACTCCTTCATTCGAAATAATCAATTAAAAACAGTGTTATTATTTCGATAAATTTCCAGGTTACGGTAGTAAAAGTTACGTTAAAGGTTCAAATTGTTTAAATACTAAACTTCTACTTGAAATCATATCAGTAGCTTTTATTGGTTCTGATCAATTCAACGACATGGCATTCATTAATTTTCAGATTTTAAAAAAAAGTCTGGTGTAGTTTTGCTTTGAATGATGAGTTTTGCTTTGAATGATACAAAATTGAATCAATTTACTTGCATTTATGTTATTGAAAATAATAGGAATATTACTATTTTTCAATTGAAAATTCTGTTGTGTTGTTCATTTCTTCTAGATGTTTTCATTTCAATATCTCATTATTCAAAGATTTGTCCTTTTTCTTTTTCGGTTCATTTAAAAAAAACTTATTTGGTTTTATGAAATTTTAAATAAACTATTTAAAATATCATTTAAATTCGAAAGTACTTTTATTATCAATAAATACCCAATAATATGTGAGAACTCACAAATTATCTATCATGTACATAAAAATGTGAGTTGATTCTATTTTTTGCAAATGTCTTATTATTATCATTAACAGATAATAATTATACATCATAACACGTTTATCTCATGCAATTTTTATTTGTTTATTGGGTAAGTAATAAACTATTTACTTGTAAAGTTTTGAACATAACTTCTTTTTGAATGATTTAAATGTTAATCTTTTGAATAAAAAGATGACATACATCATGTAGCAAGAACATGGGATCTTGTTGATCAAGGTCTTTGGATAAAGATGCAAAATTTTCAACTTTTATTAAAATGAAGGATGATGTCCCCCTGACACACCCATATATACATGTATATATATATATATATATATATATGTGTCTCACAAACTCAAAAATCATTTCTTCAAAAACAATATGACAATGCATTTGGTTTTATGAAATTGCACAAGTCTTAGATTGTCCCCCAAAATTTAGAATCCCATTGACAATTCCTGGTAAATGTACACATATATAATTACATATACACATATACACATATACATGACTGAGTTAGATTAAGATTGTTATTAACCATCGATGTAATACCTTATTCTTGTACAAAAATGTTAGCATTGATATCAAACTTCACCAAACATCGACACTCTGTGCTTATATCACTAGAAAGTTTCAAGTGTCCATAGTATTTCCACATTAAGTTGAATAAGAAATGTCCTGGTTTCAATAAATACATCTAAATGACATCCATCCACCCACCCATATGTGCCTTGAAGCACAATCCAAACCGTAAGAAATCATTAATTATGAAAAAATCAAGAGCTGGGTCAAAAATTGAACAGCCGTTTTTTTCGAGGAAGAATGTGAGTATTCGAAGAAGTATAATTATTTGTAATTTTGGAGGTGCTTCCTTGTTCAGAGTTCAATGCATTGGGTGGTTATCAACAGCCAATAACCGTAAAATACCAAAACGCTGGGTTAAAGAAGAATATAGGAAGCGAAGCTCAGGAAAGAATGTACAGTTCTTAACCACAACAATCTTGAGGCAACGAAGATGGTTCCGAATGTGTGATGAAAGCGAAACCATGAACTGGAGCATGTCAATTTCTGTAGCCAATTCCAAAGTGAAACCGGCGAGCCTTACAATCGTTGAATGCATACTCCAACCGTAATGGTCCCAAAGGTGAGTCCACTCTAAGCCCAGCCCCATATCCATACCCATTCCCAGGTTTTCCACGCACTCCTGCCGGGTCCCCTGCACACACAGTACATTGCCGAGGCAGAAACAAGAAAATTTAAGCTCCGCAAGTAGTTCATGGGGGGATAAGTTCTTCTAGATAAAATCCAGAGTGCGCCCAGCTTATCAGGTAATCGAACTGTCATAAACGTGACTTAATACTCAGGGATTTGCTGGAGCACGACATTACCTGGTACGGTACTTCCAGAACCCAGGTCAGAACCATAATCTGCAAAAACCGCTCCCTCCACAGGTCCAGCCTGGACATCATGCAACCAATGGGTGCAATGCACATTAGACTTGTAAGACCATTTATCTCGCAACAAGGTGTTGGTATATATGTCAGTTGCAGTAAGAGAAAGCATTTCTTTCAAAAGGAAAAAAAGACGTACAAGAGGAATGGAGATTTCGCCACTTGCAACAACGCATGACCGGCCTGATCCCACAGACCCTTCATCATAGCCTCGAACACTGTTGGTGCCCCCAATAGGAAAAGCTTCGTGGGGTGCCAAGTCACCAATCACAGTACCTCCTGAAAAACTAGGGACACAAATCATGGACACAAGTGAGTCAATTTGTAATCGTTCTCTGATAAAAACTGAGACATAAGGTTTCTTAAAATTTTAATTCTAAAGTATTGACATCAAAACGTAGAATTCGAGTGAGGACACATCATGAAGTAGCTAGATGAGTACGTGAAGACAAACCCAGTAATAAGACATTATTATCCACTAACCTTGCTATGCAGCGGACAGGGCCAAGACGAAGACCCTGCCTTGCACGTACATTTATTCGGTTGAAAAAGAGCCAATCTGCAGCAATAGGCAATCCCTGTTCTGTGTTGAAAACAAGCTGCAAACCAACAGGGAAACTGTGTCACAAACATGAATGCCAAATAAAAGGTCGCTGTTCAAATGAGGAGAGATGTGGTAGATAACCCGAATTCCTATGGAACTAAGAGAAACTATAAACACATGCTTAAACAAAGGCGAGTTGGCAAGAAATTACTTGAGATGAACCGTTGTCTCCCGAATCTGTGTAGACAGTTTCCAGTTTGGCCACCAGCATGTCATCATAAGCTCGGCCACTACACAAAGAAGAGTCAACATAGCCACCATTCTGTTTAACAGCAGGTTGTAGGAGAACACAATATGAGCTTAAAGCAGGAATATTCATTCTTAGCTAGAGTTAAACGATTCAAACGGCTTAGTTTACTTGAGGCTCGGCACAATGCAGACAAGAAGGCATGTTTAATACAAACCTTTTCTCTTCGGTTAAGGGAAGGAAGAGTATGAAAATCGACATCCGCCGTACTCCACTAAAAGTCAAAACTAGGTTTTCATCATTCCTAATTTTTATAGTAGACAATTTTATGGAACAAAACTAACCTGAATGTGAGAGGACCACCGTACATATCAACAACCTTCACTGAACCATGCTCATCTCGAGCTCCCGCTCGCTTCAAAGAAAGAAAAATTAGACCCCAAATCCTAGTCAGATGCGTTAAAAAGACAGTAAGGTCATGGTAATTCAAACAGAGAAAAGCAGGCTTGTAAGTGCATTAATGATGGCTTACTTGAAAATTGATCCCAGCAGTGCCACTCCATTTTGGTCTCAATGGTCGACTATAATCTACACCTGCCGTTAGCCTACCTATCGTCACACCCCCATGCAATGGACCGGATGTCAGCGCATCTCTACGGACACCATGCACAGTGGTCCCAGGTGCTCGTGAGTTCTGCACCCACAATCAGCATGAATTTAGCAAAAGTCCACAACCTCACAAACTAAAATAGATTTGCAAATATGTTTTTTTATTACTTCCACAGCTCTAGCAAAACTCCAAATGAACATCTTAACGTGGATACCGCCAAGCAATGAATCAAATTTTAAGGTACATAATTAACAACCTTATTGCATTCGTTTGTCCTACTAAGAGAACACAACAGAATTTACCCATCATACTTCTGCACATACCTGAATATTAATGGACCGGGATGTTCGCTTATCGTCACCTTCGATCCAAGGGTCGGTGTAGTTTATCCTAAACATGGAATCAACTTGTCCTCTCTCCAATGAGACATTCAACTTCTGATTCCGTCCAAATGCATTCCTATGTGAATATGCAAAGCTGCAAGGACACAACACAAAGTTTCAGATTGTCTCGTCTGAACATCCACTTTACGAAGAACCTCACTGAAGAACATAACATCAAGAAGATACGATTAGAATTAACAACTGATCTACCTTCCAACAAGACCTGAGAGAGCTCCATTTGAGATCCTGCACAATGAGCGAAAATACTGCAGTTAGGCTATAACCACCTGCAACTCGTGAGCGGACCGATAAATACGTTCAAGATTCAGACTATATTAATAATAAAAAAGAAAAAAAAAACTCGCGCCTGTCTAAGGCAGTAAATTTGAACTTCCTCAAATTGACATCTGGCTGCAAATGTACAACTGGCGCAACCCACCCATTGCCAGATAAACCACCTCCTGCTGAAAAGCCGCCAGTCACACGCTCCACTACATTCATTGTTAAATCCACCATGCCTGTATCTGTTTAAATCACCATTGCAAGATATTTCAGTCAACATTGGATCACCATCCCACTTGTTTATGATTATTTTTTTACACCACTTCATTGAGGTCGAGATAAGATGAATGGCGCGAAGTTGATAGTTGGAACACAATATTTGAACACATAAAAAACAAAAGATTAATTCTCACCACCGGCAGGCTGTGGAACCAAATTTACATCCTCCATAATACCCATAGTGAAGACAGTTTCTACATCCCGTCGCCCTTGTTGCAGACTATACACCTGTAAACAAGTATAAGGTTCGTATTGACCTTTCAGCACATGTACATACACAAACTTACCTGAATATACTATGTTATCAACTACATGTTATGAACGTTAATTGGCGCAGCATCAACATTTTCCTAGATGTTCAGGATACAATATTAAAGAAAATACTGCAACAGTTATTAAAACAACGAAAGCAACTTCATGTTTTCAGTTTCTGTGCGAAATTTCAGGTAAAACATTTACCTGCCCTTTCTTGGTCGTCAACTGACGAAGAAGAGTATCTGGCCTTGTCTTCCCAACAGTCGGCTCTCCACTGTAAGCATAGACCAAATCAACATACACATAAAAATGAAGGAATTTCCATTTAGTTGATACCCACTCAAAGTGAAGCTCGAACTCATTTCAGATTAACATTTAACTGAACATGCAACAGGTCACGTACGTCTTTCTATCCAGAAATCTAATGTTGATGTTGTGCACCTCTGCCTCTGCGACTTGGACTTTAATAACACCATCTTGTAGAATCTCAACATCAGTGACCTGCGATTGTTTACACATAGTCCCGTTACAGCCACAAAGGTCCGGCAAGAAGCAGTAAAGGTGGAATACTCCTGAACGTATATAAGACCTTACGAGAATTTTCGGATCATTTCATTCAAGAAATTGAGGTTATTCCATGAAATCTCACCTGCCCAAAAAGTCCACGGGCTCTGTACCACCCATTAAGCGTATCAAGGACAGTGTTGAGACGTTGAATATTGACCACCTTTCCTGCATGACATCAACTCCAAATTAAAGCACAATAAATCCATGAATTACAATTCTTCAGCAAAAAGCAATAGTGCATCACTCTGCTCTATCAAGCAAACGGGGTCACCAAAACATGGACCATAAATCAACAAACAAAGAAGGGCAAGCAGTTTAGTGATAAGTTTGATGATCCTGCGCTTGATGAGAGCATACCAAATTCAGCACGAAATGCATTCTGCACTACTCGGGTAGGTAGCACATTGGCACCGTTGCATACAAGTCCTCTCAACTCCTGGTTCGGCTCTACCTTCAGTCAGAGCAGTGAATCCACCAAAAAATGTGTCAGAATTGGCCAAAATCGAATATACATCCGGAGGGCGAATCCAGTGCATACAAACATGAACACCAAGTGCAACTTCGGAACCAAATTCCAAGATGGAAATATGCAAAAACTCCGTGCTTTAAAACTCAAGTGATACTCGAAAAAGAAGGGAAAAACGAGCAAAACCCTATACTGCGGACTGTCCAACTTTATGCTTCCAACGTGCGACTAGCATGTAAGAATTCAATCTTCTCTAGTAAACTCAAATCACAAGACATTTCCCAGAGCCAAACATGGTGCTATCATCGCATGAAGCCTTCAAAGACACTACCTCAAGAATAAAATAGAAATATACAACGTCAAGTTTTAAAAGCGAGGTTTAACCAACCTTGAATATGAGGCGCACACCGTCTCGAGTATCCTCCGCTGACGGCATACACGAGGCAAAGAAGCCTGTGTCGATGATTCGGTGGACATCGGCCTGAACCTCAGAGGTAGTCAAAGCAAAATTGGGCTTGCATGCCTTCAACGCTTGCCACGCAGTACTGTTGAGCTCGGGATCCGTGAGCTCCTGACCATCCTTGTCTTGTATTAAAATCTCACTTATCAATACCCTCTCTTCCTCTTGAGGAGCTTCTTGCCCGATTTGTAGTCCAGGAACTTTACGCCGACTAGGACGCACAGACTCTACTTTAGGGTCTCCACTCTGGTCTTGGCTCATGGAGAGTGAAGCTAGGCGAATAGGAGCAGCATTCATATACATAAATGGCTTAAAATTGGCATGCTTGATGAGCGACTCGCGAGCCCTGATTGCAATGGGAACCCATTTTGTGCAAAAAGATTGGATGAGACCTTCCGCAGCGGATACAAAATTTCCGAGTGGTGACTGGTTTGGTAAAATCTGTAATCTGGTGGCAGGTCTACGTGGTTTACATGGTGGGAGCTTCACATTGGAGAAGGAAACCCGTGCTTGTGCTAGCTTGGCCGGTGAAGCACCAGGTGATTGCTCGGACAAGCACATGACGTTCGATGGCACGGAAACACTAGAATCCCACCAAGGCCGCGGCTCAATGTTCAACTTCCTTCACAGTTCCGTGCGGTTGATTAAACCAGAAAAAAACATAAGGGCGGATTGGTCGGCACCAAACACATTCAGAGAACCCTCTTTGCCCTACATTTTGCAAGGATCTCTCCGACCACTTGAATTTTATAACTCCCTGCAATAAATATACAACAATGAAAAAAAAAAAAAAAAAAAAAAAAAAAAGAATTGGCGCATCACAATCGTACATCAATTTCCAGCATAGTAATGACGCCACGAAACTAATGAATTCACGAGACATTCAGTCTTCCTAAACCTCACTAAGTTCAATGCCCAATAATCCAGGCCCTGAAGAACCCATTAACCAAGATTGGGGCAATACTCTGAGTCGCAGCTTCTCATAAAAATAACACACAACACAAAGCGAAGTGCCCAGATTCCGAACTCATAGCCCAGTTACACAGTCACCAATCATTCATGCAGAAAACCCTAAAATCTCAACCCAACCTCGAAATATTCCCAATTCTACCCCACCGAGATCCACAATCCTCTCCCACCAGACACGCACACAGATAGAAGGGCAACAACCCTCACCTGATACTGCAGCAACAATGCTGCCAGTTGAAATTTCTACGTCAAATCTTAAACCTCCCAAACAACGACAGCCTCCCAAAGCTCCATTAGCGCCAACTCCTCCTCCTCGGCCAACTGCTCCTCATCCATGACACCAACTCCACCGAATCTGGGTTTCAACGAAATCCGTAAAATGAACCCTCGCTTCCGGGCTGCGGGTCATGGACCTCTGGATGAATGCGGACGATATCTGAAACAGTGGAATGGACGAACCCAGCAACCAATCACGAAATTCCTGGAAGGGGGTTAATGATATAGCGCCAATTATTCGATTCAAAATCATGCGGTTTGCTTGCAATCCTCGGCCGCATAATCCATCAAACACGGTCGGCCTCAATCGAGCAACCTTCCTCTTGAATGTGTAAGTGAAAGTGCTAACCATAATCCCTAATCGACAATGTCCATTGGTGGCTTCATTCCCATCGAGATACGTGTTGGTAGATGCTGATGTGGGTGATTTGTTTTATTTTTATTGCTGCTTTTTTCATAATTTGTTTGCCACTCGGCAGGGGATCATTGGAGAATCTATTACCAGGAGTGGGGTCTCGGCAAGTGGGTTTTCCATGCGCTATTACTGGCTAACGCAAGCTCTTTGCAACTTGGACGTTTCTTCGCTTGCCTCCTCGCTAGTTTGGAGATAAACTCATCTTGCTCAAGATTTCTCGGTCCCAGTGATGCGAATATCGCCATGCTGCAGCCGTAGCGGAGCATCGGAGTGATTGGGCAAGGAAGAAGTTCCTTGGGACCAATTTCTGTTTTGCAATCGTGGTGTGAGCCGTGGGTGTTCCAGGTGAGAGAAGCAGAAGAAGTAGAAGTAGGAGTGGAAGAGTCTGTTGTTTCGTTTGTGGGCGAGTCTTGCTATTCACAACTCTTCGCTCCTGTCAGAGCGTTCTGGCGACAGTTGCGTTGCGTCTTGCACTGGCATCTGTATTATTTGGTTTTGTGGACTGTGAAGTGGTTGGTGTGGAAGCTGAAGTAGGGAAAGGTGTGCATAGATATTAGAGACTGTTCATTTTGTCCAGTTCAAACTTTGGGTTTCGACAATGGATCCTACAAGTGTTGCTGGTGTGAGGAGATAGTCGTAATCTCTGCAGTTTGTCTAAGTATTTGAGTTCAAGTGATTGAGAATTTTGTCGCTGGTGTGTTCCACAGTATTGCTCTTTCAGAGATTTCTTTTGATGCTTACAAGCAAAGATGCTCAGTTTGTTATCCGTGTCTCAGCAATCGTGCTGATGGCGGTTTTCTGATCTTTTACCTCATCGGTTACTTCTCTTTGTCTGCTAGTTCGGTCAGAAATACTCTTACCGAATAAGCGGAGAGTCATGACATTGCTCGGTTAAGGTTTGCAAGGAAGCTCTCTGCTCATCTACTTAAAGCAACTGAAGGATTCAGTGGCGGGGTCCTAATGTAGGTTTTGGTCACGGCTGTGGGTTACGTATCAATTTCAGGTCTGGGTGCGGGCCGTCACCTTATCCATAAAATTATTTTTTGGAAGATATTCGATTCATTCTGCTGTTCTTTTAGAACAGCGAATTGTCCAACTGTGTGTTGCGCTCCTACTCTGAGCCTACAGCTGAAACAATTTGTTGTCACGAATTCTCTGTACCTCACAGGATAAGTGGTTCCTAGTAAGGATTCTTTCATTTTCCTTTGCCGCAATTTCCGACAAATAGGGAATGAGTCAACCATGACATAACTTCATCTTCTATTGGTACTTCGACATATTCTACTAAGTAGCTCAGTTCTATGCGCCATTGGTTTCTATTCTTGAGCATGTCTGATTTCTTCATGCAGCTGACAAAAAAATTTGCCGGTATTTGCAGGTGGCTACAATGGGTGTCTCAACGAAGGTTGGGACGCAACCTCAAAGTTTCGATTTGCGGCAGCTTGCGACCATGAAGCTGTCAACAGAATACGATTCTGAGGGGAGTGTTTTTGTCAATAAATTTTCTGCACGCATGCTGAATGGGATTGCCAAGCTCACGGGCTCTATTCAGAGGGAACCGTCGGGCGATCTTCGCTATCCACTGCTGGGCGTGGTCACGAAGTTTTTCTCTGTGATTTATGATCACGAGGACCGCAATGCTCTTGTAACGCTCAATGCCGACGTCAACCGGAACTTATCGTTCAAGTACCTGCGAGACATAAAGGCTCAGCAAGGTGAAGTGAAGCTACTTGCCAGTACAGCGAACCTTAGGTATAAGACGGAGATTTCTTTTGACGTCCCAGCCACGACTTTGGTATGTCTCAATCCACGTTTCTAAATACCGATGTTTATCTCGTTGTATAATGTAGAGAGATTATTTCCATACAACTTCCACAGAGATAGCACTCAGTGTAGATAGTTGACAGGAATTTGAGGACGTGTTTGATTTTCTGGTGCAGCCGAAAGTAGTTTGCACGTTTCCGCAAGGGCAATTAAGGGCTGAAGAGGTGGAAGTGGACGAGGAGCGAGCAATTGCACTCAGTGGCTTCCTTGGCGGGAGCATACTCAACGGTCAAGTTGTTGCAAGTTATTCCGACGAGAGCGCCACTTTAAAATACACATACAAGGTGCTTGACCCATTCTTTACCCCTTGGTCTTTAATCATGCTTGGAATAAAACCTCTAGTCCCCAGGTTCATCTGTTCTCCTGATGCATAGTGATCCTATCTTGATGACCAGGATGAGGAGTTGACAATGATACCATCAGTCTCATGGCCTCAATTATCCCCATCACTTGCATTTAAGCGGCAGTTTGGACCACACAACAAGCTCAGGTGCTAGCCTCTCTACTCTTTCCATTTTCTTGAACTAGTTGTCTCTGATGAGGTTGGTGAACCGATATCGATTGTCTCTAGTTAGTGGTAATTTCCTACAGATAGGATGAAATAGTGAAGTGGATCTTCAGTCGATTTTTGGTGGGTTTTGCATATTGTTAAGTCTCTAGTTAATAGCAATTTTTTGTGTTAGCAGAAATTTGTGTCGTGAAATGCTGCCTGACAATTTCACTCTGTGCATGGACAGCTATTTTCATAACTTTGAGACAGCCACATGGAGTGCTGTATATAAGTATAAACCAGTTGAGGACTTCAAGGTTAAGGTTGGCTATGACTCTGACGTTCGTCTTGGCTGGAGTTCATTTTGGGTATGTTTCTTGTGTAAACCCCTTTCTTACCCGCTCTCGTCGTTTGAGATCTTAGTCACTTTCACTTCGCTGTTCTCTATTTCCCACTGCGTTTTAAACACTTTTTTTTTTTTTTTTTTTTTTTTTTTTTTTTTAAGTTTAATTTTTTTATATCGCAGTTTAATGTGGGATTCTACCGTGCGTTGCAGATTGGTAAGGAGAATGCCGGTGCCAAGCATGCGCCCAGGAAATTTAAATTGCAAGTAATGCTACAAGTACCTCAGGACGAGTTAAAATCTGCTGCTCTGTTGTTCAGAATGAAAAAGCGGTTTGATTTGTGTTGACCCTCGTCTGTACAATTTTATTACAACTTCCGAATCCACCATTTTGATTTGATTAGCTAAAACAATCCTTCTCGTGTCTGCCTTCATTGTTGCTTCTCTGTCATTTATCACAAAATGCCTTGCTTCGCTCGTATTTTGCACAAAGACCCTAGTCATATTCTTCTTGTACTGTGTTAGTCATCCCAAGCCTATCAAGTGTGCCAGTGTTGGGCTACCTCTCTACGGACGACCTTCGCAAATCTTTTCAGCTTTGTTTGGGCAAATCTGATGGAGCTGATTGATGATCACTTGGATGTGTACAGCATGTGATAATTGTATCTTGAATGGAATTATAAAGTACAATAAATGATACAGCAGAAGCCACGTCTGGACTAGTCTTTGACGTCCAGTATACTGATCTAGTGATTGGTTGTTTGTTCCTAAGACGTCTAGTTAGGGTTGATTACTGTTAGTTTCGGGACTATAACGTGTTTGTAAGCGTATCTTTACAAGTGTAGGTAGTCATAACGACCAAAGCTAGGTTGGTTTGAATACCCCATGACTGCTTCTGTGCGATGGATCAATTTGAAGCGTATCAACGTCGAGTTTGGAGTCTTGGCTATAAATTGGAGTCTCTCGCTGTGAATATGATCCAGATCATGGGTCACAAGTATTTAAGAAAGATCAGGGATGAATTTGAGGTTGGCTCCTTCTCCAAAATCCATGCTGCGTAATTTCAGTAGAACCATTCACAAGGAGGTGACAAAAGAAAGATATGTAAGCACAGACCCATTACACTACTGAACAACATTTCTGATGAGGTATTTGCCAGTATGCTTCAGCATTGTCGTAAGAATTGCTTGCTGGAATTAACAATTTGAATTCAATTGCCCTTGTCCCTTTTTGATACCTCTTGAATATTGCTCTCCTTATCACTTACTATTCGATTATGTCATCAGTATTTTAAAATTAGATTTTGATTTGATTTTGTACAGGCCTTTCTAGTATTGCTTGTGCAGATCTCTCATTGCCCTAGAATTTGAGTTCAAGTATCTCAACCATTTTTATTCACATGTACATTTGTATTGATTGATTTCACTTTATCTTTTATAGTTTTATAACAAATAATGAAAACTGAAAAAGATTGTTGAGGTTGTCTCTTAGCATCTTACTTCACAATTCCAATAAAAACATCAACTTTTTTTAAAAAATAAACCGATTGAATTTTATGTTTTTTTCATTTAAAATTTTCAAACATATTATTTCTTCTCACAATTGGTTTGTGTGAACATGATATTTTAATATTTATTATTAGATAAAATATTGATTTTTAATATAATCATGAATTTTAATTTTCTTTTTTGTTCTTAGTTATGATTTAATAAGTTGGTAAACAACTTGATTCCATGGATACAAAAGGTATATCGATTTTTCTCAACTTAAGAATATGTTTTATGATTGTCAATTTTAGATGAGTTTCCTAAATTATTAGAGGCATGTTTAGATCAACAATTAATGTCTAATAGTAATTATTTTACTATCATATTTTGCATTTATTTTATTTTATTTTTATTTTATCTTATCTTTAAATATTAAATTAATTTAATCCCACACTTGAACCTTGAATATTGTATATTTTTTAGATTTTATTATAATGAAAAGACCCATTATTTAAGTGACATAATTACATTAGAATATTGAAAGATGTATCTATGTTTATCAATTTGAAATATGTATATATATTATTTGAAGTGATAATTTTTTCTTATTTTATATAATAAAAATTAAAAATAAAATAAAAAAATAAATGTACAACCGTTAAATATTGTTGTGTATATAAGAGATGGAAGAAATTGAATTTTAAAATCTAAGAATGATCTATTCATTTAAAAATTTGTAATGTAAATGTTGACAATTATATTATTTCTAAAAAAATCCATTATTTCTTCTATTTTTTTCCATTGTTACTTCTATTTTTTTTAGAAATAATATCACAAAGGATATGATATTTTTTTTCAAATTTGAATTTTTAATAACCTCAAACTACCAAAAAATATCAAGTTAATACCAAGTGATTGATAATTCAAATCTTTTTTGTAAAATATTTTCTTTCCAAATAAAGATCCAAACAAAAGTAATAAGTATCTACTATTCTAAAAATTCATCTAACTACAATTTTTCTATATAGATTTGTCTAATAGTGATTCTTTTTGTTCCAAAAACATATTCTAAGACATATATTATACACATATATATATCTTACAAATGAGCAATAATAATGATAAGTAAATCATATTTCTCTTTAATTCTAAGAAAGAAAACACGATGTTAAAATTCAAATAATGTCAACAAAATTAATATTTGTACAAATAAACTTAGAATCACTCTTATATTTATGAGAATTATATAAAAAAATTATATCTAATATTAAATATTTAAAAATAAATCTCTTTGTTTTATATAAAGGTGTTATATAAATAACTTCAACCTTTTGAAACCTACTTTGTACTCTAATCTTTTATAATTCAGTAGTATATAAATAATTCTAAGATTGCTATGGCAACTTGAAATGTGACACCTAGATATGAGAATTGATTCTTTTGTTGTTATTGTTTAAATCAAAATTTCAACTATCAACACATAGGAAATCTTATTCATAGTTGATTTTAAAATTATAAAATTGAGAATAATAGGTATAAAAAAAGAAATCATGGTAATAAGTCAATACATAGAAATTACCATATTAAATAGCTACTAGTGAATTTACATGAAATTGTTTTAAGATTGCATTGATAACTTTGCCTTAGTATTTGATAATAATGGAGTTGCATGATTACCATCATTTGTCTAACCTTTAAATATGTATTTAATAACGTTGTTGATATTACTAATAAAGTTTTATTAATCTTTAATCTTTATTGGAGGGCATTGATGATGTTAATATATAGAAAGGTTTAGCAAAGGTTATTAGATATAATGGTAATTTTTAAAAATACAAGTTAGATGTTTTTCTAATATTATTTATTTATTTATTTATTTTTAAGAAAATAAAGTACTAATAATATTTTTGCACTACAACTATGTTTATAAATTTCTAAATTATAGATCTTTGTAGATGCTTCTCCTTAATATAGTATGAATCCATCAAAAAAACAACTCTTTTAACTAAATATTATTCTAAATATTGTTCTAATATTTAACTAAATTATGCTTAAAAGATTTGAGTATTTTTAATTTAAATTCTCTTAAAGTAGTAATTTTATAACTTTAATAAAAATAAAATTAGATAGGAGCTATAATTAACAAAGCTTGAATGAATAGTTGTATATTAGAAATTTAGATATCTTCTATTAATGTCATTTATAATTTGTGCATGCAAGATTTTTTTTATTATTATTTTTTTTAAGACTTTTATTTAAAAAGATTTTTTATATCTAAATTAAAATTATATTAAATAATTTATTATTATTATTATTATTATTATTATTATTTTTGTGTGTGAAATGATATCAAAAACTTACATGCTTATTTTTTAAGTGATATTTAAATTTTGTTATTAATACTAAATTACTTTGGATATTTGAATATATTTTTTTAGGATTGTAATATGTAAATTATAATATAAAAAATATTCCAATTAGATATGGCTTTAACTATTGCATTGGTTAAAATCATATATTAAGATTTCATTAAAGACTTTCTACTAATTGTTGTTTCTTTTTGTCTTAAGATTTTACAACTCGTCCTTCTAATAAGAAAAAAATAACAACCAAAAGTGTATCTTCTACCATCAATAATTTTTTTTTAAATATGTCACAACTTTTTATGATTCATTATTAAATTTTATAGAATAAATAATGTTTTATTTAATATCTTTAAAAATTTAGAACATAAAATTAGATAACTATTGCACTGAGCTATTAATTTTGTTAACATAATCTGATTTAGAGTTTAAAATTGTATAAATAAGACTTCTAATACCTTCTAAATAGGAATAAATAATTATAATGTTAGTAGAAGTTGAAAGATATAATCTTGTTCATGCTTCTAAAAGTGTTTTTGAAAGGTAGAAGTAAGAATTTTATATTTTTGTAATATGTATTTTTTATAAATACTTTGTTTAATATAATATAGTTTTTTATACTTTTCTATTTCTTAAAACGACATTTCTAAGTAAATAGTAAAATTTTCCTTCACTTGACATCTTAAATTTGACATATTAAATAAAAAAAGAAGATTTTTTATTAGGATACAATCATCAACTTAAACTATAAGAATTGTAAAATTCCTATCTACTATTCTTTGTGTGTATATATGTTTATTTTAGCATCTAAATTTGTATAATCAGGATAGAGTATATATTTATCAAGATATTACTACCAAGTTCTATTAGATTTTATAAGTCTATTTTAGTAGTTTATGTAATCTTAAACCAATTGTAGATTGGATGAGCAAATATCCTTTGTTACTACTTTAAAAAAATATTTCTTAAAAAACCTATTAAAAAAAGATGTTTTACATCAAGTTAATATACTTTTAGATTGTATTTGGTAATTAGGATTGAAAACACTTTGATAGAATTTAGTTTCACTACAAGACAGAAAATGAAATTTAATTAAGTTAAAGGATAGATAAGTATTTGGACTACCGATCTTTTTTTTTACTTAATATTGGCACCATTTCTTTGTGTTTATGTTTTTAAAATCTATTTTAAGTTATAATTTTTTTATTAAAAATAATATAATAAAGGTTCTTGTATTGTATTTTTTGTAAAAGTTTTATTTTTATTTTATTTATGTTATTTGCAGTTATGTTAAGAAAATATCAAGTTAATGTGATTTATTTTTTTCTTTTGAGATGATATTTCTATTTACATTTATAAAATTTTCATTAAATTTCACATCTCTAAAAATTAGTATTTAATTTGGTGTAAATGTTTATTAATTTGCATGCCTTGCTTTCTTCACTACATCCAAAAAAAAAAAAAAAAAAAAAAAAAACCTCAATAGTATAATAGTCTAATTTCTCATTTTCTAAGGAATCAAAATATAAGCTTTTACCACTAGAAATTTTAAAGAAAGAATAATTTAGATTTCTTGTATAAGTTTTATTCAATGTAATACCTTGTTCTATATACAAGTGATTAACCAAAATGTTGCAACCTTTTGGAACCCACTTAGTACACCAAAGCTTTATCAACCTTGATCCCCAACAAATTCAACACTGCAAGCAATGGTTGCACAGGATTCATTTGGTGCATCTAGACCCCCTTTTTTGTTTATCACAGCTTGGATCATCAACTTTTAGGGTTTCGGGAATCAGTTTTTATGCAGAGATCGGCAATGTTCAGTGTCGCCGATCGTTTCTTGCAAGTACCGAATGGATCAAGAGTGATGGAGTTTTGAAAATCTGCAAATGAGATATAGAAAAGGAGCTCAGTATTTTGATAATTCATTTCCTGACTTACAATTTTTTCTTCATAGCAGATTAAGTATTGATGGTTTTGTTGGAGCTTGGCCAGTTTGTGAGAGAGAAGATGGCTCTGATAAAATAATACCTCAGTTTTACTATCTCTTATTTTTAATTTTTTAATTTTTTTTTTCATGTGGGTACAAAACTCTTTTTTGGCTGTCAAGATCATGGAGATGTGCATGTCGCTTTCTTGCACAACAGCATTACTTATCACCAAACGAGACTAGCTCATGCAACGATCACTCTTCTACTACGAACCACAGAAACATGTCGTCCGGTTGTGTGGAAAGTTGGTGTTGTTGTAGGTGGAGAAAATTGCTGTATTCACAGAACGTATGATAACCTGCAACTTCACCATCTATACATCCGAACAAACGAGAGCTTGTTTCCGAGCCATTGACTCGTCAAGGGGTAAACCATCCCAGCGCAAAATAGTGGATTTAAAGCAACTTCTGAAATGGCAATATCATCAATATGTTCAAGTAATTTTCAGAGAAGAGGAGCAACTGCAACTAAGATTTCCGAAATCCATATTAGGTGATCAAAGACAGGTGCTCGTTTTAAAGTTTGCATACAATGGAGTGATGTAAAATATGTAACTCAGAGAAGGTGAACAGAAAAGAAATAAAGCAGAATTCAATTCAACAGCTCGACAGGTTCATTGTTTAAAAGACAGCCGGTAAATCGAGCTTGTGATACGTACAATAGATATATTATGTATGTTACATTCATCATACTATCCAACATGAAAATGAGGCAAGCCATGAGCGTCTGATAGCAAGAGCAGCATCCAACTTGGTCGCCATATCCATATATTTCCAAAGCTCGAAATCCGCCACGAGGTTGATAGTAGTCTGGTCGATGGGAGCCACCATCTACATTGCTGTCTTGTGTATTCAGCGCTCTGTAGTTGAGGGATAGCTTTTGCACGAGCACTAAGACTTGAATCGCCACCGAAGAAGAGAGGATGAAGAAGCTATAGCTCCCTGAAGCAAAACCATTCGATTCTTACGGGGTTTTTTACACCCGTTTCCTGAAAGGTAGCGCTCGGATGACGAGCGTGTGGTAAGCTGCGGCGAGCGCCGCGCCAAGCATGGGACCGATCCAAAAAATCCACTGCAAAAGCACCAAAAAAAACAGAGATCAAAGCCCGTCCGACATGAGCCTGACAACTAATACTGAGAGCAATATTCATAAGCATATCCCTGACGTGATTTGCAATTTGCATTCGGCGAGCATAGGATAAGGTGGGGAAGCAAAAGCTTGAACTCACGTGATCGGCCCAAGCGTTGTTCTGTTTGTTAAAGACAACAGCAGCACCTAGACTACGGGCGGGGTTGATGCCAGTTCCGGTGATGGGAATGGTGGCCAAGTGCACCAGGAAAACTGCGAATCCGATGGGAAGAGGCGCAAGCACCTGCAAGTCCATCGAAGAGCATCATTTTGAGACCATCTAACTGTGAGGAGTACCAAAGATCAGCCAGCACGTCTCAGGCGCGGTAATCTAGAACTGAACTGCACCGGAAACGGAGTGTACTCACCGGCACATGAGAGTCACGGGCATTGCGCTTGGCATCGGTGGCGGAGAACACAGTGTACACCAGCACGAACGTGCCCACGATCTCAGCGCCCAAGCCATCGCCCTTGGTGTAACCATGAGCGACAGAGTTAGACCCACCTCCTTGTTCTTGGTAGAAATTTGGCTGGAAACCTTTCACGATCTCAGCTCCGCACATCGCACCTAAGCATTGCATGATCATGTAGAAAAGTGCTCTGTTGAGCGACACCTTCCGTGCCAGAAACAACCCGAACGTGACGGCGGGGTTGATATGTCCTCCCGAGATTCCTGCAGTGCAGTACACGAGAGCGAAGATCATTCCGCCGAACGCCCACGCGATCCCTTGGATGCCGACCCCGAGGCAAGGGTCTGCCGATCGCTTGTGGCCCATAACAGTCTGGATGGTAATGTAGAGGAAGAGAAGCGTGGCGATGAACTCGGCGATTCCAGCTCTCCAGAAAGACCAGCGGCGAAACTCGGAGCCATCGAAGAACGGCGTCACGGACGGCTCTGTGTAGTCCTTCTCGGGGACTGGCGCATGCGTGCCCAACGCCGAGCGGTCCCCGTATTTGTTTGTTCCGAGCGCAATGTCGTCATCCTTATCTTGATTCATGTTTGTCTCTCCCTTGCTCGGGACACAGTTCCTTTCGCTGCGGCCTGCAACCTGCTGCGCACATCAACAAGTTTAGGAACCCATTACTCGATGTATTATGCCAGCTTTCGAACTCGACAGACACCACTCTAGTCACATGATATCTCAGAGTTCCTTGAGCTTAATCATGGACCTTGTACTCGACGCTGGCCAGAGAGTCAAGCATCGTTCTACCCCATGGTGCCTGTCCCAAGACTCTTTACAGAAATCATATTTGAGTAGCAACACGTGTGTACAAAAGGGTGACGAAATTGGCTGCCGATTACACGGGCTCGCTATTGTCACCTAGCGGTCGGAGGGGTTCGATCATGAAGTTTCGTATCTCCAGACACTTGCGATTGGGCGATACAATGCTAGAATACATATACACGAAGTGCAGACAGAGCTAGTTAAGTAGAATTTGAGACGTTTCCTCAGCATCACTGGCGTGACTGTGCTATTGCGTCGACCAGTCACGTCCACAAGCTTCAAGACCCGCAGCACACAGATCAATTCTTAATCTAAAATTCCTCCCAGGCATTCAACGGAGCACTTTCGATCGTGACCTTCAGCTCACCATCGAGACCGAGAAACACAAGTCAGCTGACCATCAAAAACCCAACAAGTCACACGAACATGTTGCCTGCCTGCAAGGATATCCTTCACTGCGAGTCTTAGTCAAGTGGCGTTACTTCAACAGCAAAACAAGGTTCAGCGATGTGTCCATACCCCTCTAGAAGCGGAAGAAGAGGGACCCTAACTCAACGGCTTTCGCTCCAAGAAGCGCTGACTCACATTCCAGCGTCGCTACACCATGAAGAGGATCCAGGGACGAGAGATTAGTTTCAGCTCCCGGGGAAACTGAGGTAGGCTTTAAGAGAAGCAGGGCTAGGCAGTGATGGAAGCGCTAAGGAAATGGGTAGAGATGATGCGAGGGGGTGAGGGATTTGTACTAGCAGGCAGCGTGGCTCTCGATTTGTCCGCTCGCCCATCTCTCCTGGAGTACTAGGTCCCACGGATGATCCCCATTTCCTCCATGATATTATCTGCAAGTTTTTTTCTTAACCTGGAGTCGTAAGAGAACAATTGGCCCTGTCGAGGTGAGAGAGAACAGTGTACCGCACTGTGTCTCTGTGGACTTCGATCCCCGCCCAGCATTATCACTCACTCCGTACTAGAATTGGATTCTCGGCCAACTTCACAGTGAGTGCGACGACAAAACCACCTCCCTCAGAAAGAAGAATATGTGATTGTTACAGAAATTGCCATATTACCATTTTACTTGGTCGCACACGTCCCCCAATGCCAGGTTCAGTGATCCATCAAGAGTAGCTAGGACCTGCACGTTACTGGATATCATTTGTTTTTGTTTTTTGTTTTTTGGGTTTTTCAAGCGACATCAATGTGAATTCATGAGAAAACTGATGCGAACTACTGTGGATACGATTCATTTGTTACACGGAAAGAAGCAGATTCTAGGTTGTTTTTGTTTTAAGCCACGTTGCGGTATTATGCAACCGTATTGTGTATGTCAACGAGCTAAAACTTTTGTCGCTGGTTACTGCGTAGACATGCTACAGTTTCGGTGCAGATGCAACTTGGACATGGACATGCAGCTGAATAAAGAGATATTTTGATTGTGTCCAACGCCAGATGATTCTCAAGACATGGTAAAAGGTTCTCGGAGCTTCGACACTTGTGGATGACGATTGCGGAGGGTTATTGTGTGTTGAAGTAGATGTGAAGGTTTCGCTTCTGAGGTATTTGACTGCCGTAACATCCCATCGTTGGGTAATCACAGTATACATGCGTAGTTACAGTTACAAGTATACGGTTCAGAAACTGGCATGGCAAGTCATTCTCTAGTTTCCAATTTTCCCAACAGAAGTAAATAAGGAAGAATAAAGTAATCGTGTGTGAATAAACGACCTGGGAGAAGAAGGCTACAACAGAGCTCTCGGTGAAGTGCATGCACTAAGCTTACGAACCGGCTGCTGCTTCAATTCAGCTCATTCGCCCAGCCTATCAATGCATTCCTGAGCAAACTTGTGTTTTTGAGAAGCTCAATTTGTTTTCACAAGTTGAGGTTCCAACCAATTTTTTTGTAAGATTTTGACTTGAAAAAGTTGAACTTCCCGGGATCGGTGAATTAGGGGAAGTAGCTTCTGAAGACCACTTCAAGGAACTGAATAAACATATGCAGTAACAAAAACTGTATGGATGTATATGTATATGTATATATTTATATATACACATATGTGCTCTCTGTAGCATTGTCAGGATAGGAGCTTCACCTCAGTGCCGAACGGGATGCAACCACGTAGACCTGCTCCATGTATCAAACACTGTACAACGAGATCAACCACGGAAAACAGGGATTGCGTTTGAGGCAAAGTACTGAGCAGTGTTGAACTGTAATGTGGCAACTGAACCTGCTCCACAAAAGACCTTTACGTTGTGGGCCAACTCCGATTGAAAACAAAGTCTGCTATCACAATGCTTGCAATGGAGGATACATCAAATTCCCACTGCCAATTCCAACTCTACCTGGTGGCCAAGCACTCATCAGTTGAACCGTTTTTTTTCTTTTCTTTTTTCTTTTCTTTTTTCTTTTCTTTTTTTTTAAAACCAAGTTTCTAATAATCAAACTCTGCAACTAAGTACAATCTGAGCTGGTTAAGAGTTATTATTTATTTATTTATTTATTTATTTATTTATACTAAGGAAAAATGCTTGCAGGGTCGGTTCACGTCGCCATTACCTGCAGGATTGAAAGCAAAGGAAAGCAGCTTATGGAAGGACAAAGGGGGGGGGACTTATTAGCTGCCTAACAGTGGCTTATCTTGTTTGGGGGTTCCTGTACAAGGCTGGCAGAACTGTCTTCATGTGCCCCCCCCATCTGACCTCCAGTACTACTTAATGGTGCCACTTGTCCATTGTGCATCCCTTAGTTCAACTACGGGAAGTCTTTACTGTCTTCAGTGAACATCACTTTACAAACTGAGCAACTGTTAATGAAAAGACAGAAAGAAAGAAAGAAAGAAGACGAGATAGAAGAAAAAGAATTAAAGAAAAAAGACAACAACAACGACAACAACAAACACACAAACGAAAGCAACAATTAGTAATTTGAATTCATGAATTTTTCTTTTTTCTTATTCAGTAAATGAGGAACGAACAAGGTTTCTTTTAGCCGGCCAAACTGTCCTTGAATAGAGCTTTTTATCTAACACTGAAGCTTTAATTTTTGCTGATCTGATGTGGGTATTTTTTTTTTTTTTTTTTTTTGTGTTTGTTTATTTATTTATTTATTTTTGTGAATATCCAGAGCGCTAGATGACCTTCATTGCGCAGGCTACAAAAACCTTTACAAAAATCACACCATGTTCGTGTGTTTAGGATTTCTGCATCACAGCCACCAACTCATTGGACCCCATCATATGTTGCTTCCTTGAGGTGGTCTTTCCACCTCGCCCAGCAACAAAACCCTACACCTCACCTCTCTCCAGCTGGGTTCAAAGGGAAATTCTTGTTTCCTCATGCTCTTTCTGGTGGTCGGTCAATTCCGTTGAATGACACCCCCCGTCATCTTCAAGCCATTACAACAGGGCGAGGGCTTATTAGAGTAGCACGCATCACACGAGTTACTATCTGCCAGTAAAACAATTGAGCTCACCCCCAAATGTATCACACACGGAAAAAATGTTTTGTTAAAATAAATGGTGAGCGCTAAGCTTGATGTACCAACTTGAATCGTTTCTCCACTCATCAGATGTTATCGAAATTAGCTGCAAAACCCTTCTTCACAGTGTCTATATTGATGCTTTTTTATGTTGTTTCGAACATGAAGTTTGGCTGTAAGTGCTAACAAGGAGAGATTAAGCTAGTGTCACGAATTATATATATATATTTATATATATATCTATAGATATTTATTTATTTATTTCCCTTTCTCCTTGTGACTAAAACTTGACTAATTGGGTGGTTTTAAAAACAGATAGCAACTGAACTATGTTGCACAAGTTGATGACATGTACTGTGACTCCCCTGCAAGTACATAACAAAAATTGATGCACATTCCTGGCACTTGTACAGAATTTATCCACAACCCTTCAACTGTCTTGAACACTAGATCTTAGCTAAAACGGTATTAATGAATGGTAATCATGGCAAGCCGCATACAGGACCTATGCCACATATCGACAATCCTGAGCTTCACTTGACAGCTCTCACAAACAGCCGAATCAGTCTCCACCTCTCTGAGTTTTCATCAACAAAACTTCGGAGGCCACGTTTAGTATATGATCCAAATCGATACGAGAACTTAGAATCTCAGAATCCATTACACTGGATCCATTCACTGTTCAAATTCTAAACCATTTGATTGAAACTCAGAGACTCTCAAATCAGAAGTCTTCAAATTAAAGAATAGACCGATCCTTTAACTCTGAAATGCAATAGAAAAGTTATAGTGTAAGTCAAAGCAAACATGGGGTATTGCCCAGTAACAACTTCTCAGATAAGCTACAACTTGAAACTTAACTTACGTCGATCAACTTGAAACTTAACTTACGTCGATCAACTTGAAACTTAACGGACGCTCATTGTAGCCCAAATCCCCAAACAGTCAATGCCATTCGGTTGAACGGCCTCTAAGGTCCCGCTGAACAGTTAATACAGATGACAGTCCATACCAAGTATACAAAAGTATCGTATAGAGGAGATTCCACATGTGATGAAATCAAAATGATGAAACCTTCATCTTAACAATGATCAACTCAATGATGAATGCTAGGGCATGTACGTGGATTACAGATGAGCGGGTTGTTGTGTTATACCGTATAGGTGCAGACATAACATCTTCCGAATTTAAGGTTAGTTGCAGAAAACAACGTCAATGATCTGTGCAGTTTCCAATCTGAGAGGACAAAAACTTATGTTCTGAACTCAGGTGTTGGGACAACAAACGAGAACCGTGTCTAAGACTCAATCACATTCTGCTCTCGGGATTTCCGGCAAACCATGCAGGTAGTCAATACTCTCGAAAGCTCTGACTACAGACTCAGCAATGTTCTCGCGTAACTCACCTTGGTATGCAAGCGCACCAGGATTGCAATGAGTACCTGGCTTCTGGTTCAGTATCCTCTGGTAACCTTCAGAAATACGCAGATATTCCGCGCCATCATTGATGCTCAGGGTGGATTGACTCAGTTTGCAAACCTCCATGCATCAGAAACGTTCCGAAACCAAAATTTAACCTAAGGTTTTGGTGAAAATAGTCGGGGCGTTTTTAGTCGTGCAGAATGACAGGTTTGTGGAGCTCATTCGCTAAGCACGTAGAAGTAGGGCCCCTTCAAAACACTAGTCCTGCGCGAATGCTACTGAAAGACGCTTTCCTTCGTGCCTTCTCGGCATTGGACGATCTCAGTTGGTGATTGCAAGCAGTCTCAATTTACTGCTGATGTTGTAAGGGTATAACAGGGTGTCAAATCCACTCATCGTAAGTAGTTATTGATAACTACCGTGACAATGGTTTTTGAGCAACCAGTTCTACGTTATATTTCCTGGGTGGCTGTGCCCATATTTGGGATGCCTAACCACTGACCTTAAGTTTACAGGAAGGCTGTGTGAATGGCTGTTTGGAAAGCAGGTGGGCGTTGATTTAATAGAATTTTCTCAAGAAGGACTGGGAATCTATGCTCATGAAGTCAAGGCTGAGACTCTAACCTTGCTCCTTGGTTTCCATCTGCTTCACCAGAGACATATCAAAACATAGCAAACAACGTGAAGGACGAAGACATGGCTCTGCCGACGCACCTGTGGAATAAAGAGACGAAAGAATTGCGTAACGCCATTCACGATGACTGGAAAAGGAAGGCAATTGACAGTGCCAAGAAGAGAGCAGCAGCAGCGCATGTTGATTATCCAACTTTCGCGAATCTGGTACGGTTTTGATCATTACTCATGATATGCCGTGGTGAATGTATATTGTTGTCTTCAGAAATCGCTCTACGCTTCAGCCCAGCGAGAAGATTCCAAACAGGCAATATCTACACAACATGTTAATGCAGTGAGACGTGTCGTAAGAAGGAAAGAAACTGATACCCCTTATGGCTGCACCAATAATTGCAATATGCAAGGTCTCCGTGGCGCATCTGAAGCCTGTGGAGCGGAAGATGTCAGGACAAGAAGACGGGGAAACACCAGAGCATTTTTATAGAGGAACAGCTCCTTCATGGACATTCGATCCAGCAGGCACAAACAAGTCCTCCAACTTAGACGATGGGAATGCACAAACTGCAGATGAACCGCCTACTTCATTAGGGCTCCAGCGACCGAGAAGACAACTTGGAGGACGTGAAAAAATTACAGATCATGACGTATTTGCGAAGGAATGGCGCCTCCTTAACAAGGACACATTGTCTCAGATGGCTTTTTTGACTGGCATCGATTCTGATCACTACCCTGAGATTTTTAAAGTAGAGTTACCTCCCAATCTACTCGCTGATATCTTGGCAACAATTTACACATTTGTCAAAACTGAGAAAAATGCAGCGGGGAGTCCGGAACGGCAACAGCTGCTCCGAGCAGCATTCAATAAAGCAGTCGACGAAGATTGGATCGTAAGAATGCTTGAAGAAATGACCAAGTGCGGTCGATTCTCGCTTGTGATCGGATGCATCGGTGCGACGACCCACGCCATGATTCGGGAACTCATCTCGCATCTCAACGAGTCGGATTGGTGCAAAACATCTTATGAAGCAGAGGACTCCAAAAGACAGCCTTCTCCCGTCTCGAGGATACATAACATCGCGTCACTGTACAGAGTACAGATCGACAGGCAAAACTGCATGAGCAAGTCTGCTAAGTAAAAACCTAAACATCTCAAACCAATAAACCCGCCCATCCACCGCATGCAATTGCATGAACGCACTCAGCGTTTGCAACGTACGAAAGATTTCAATTACTCCATTCCAACACACTGTTGTGGTCTCCATAAACCTCCCTTGGTCATCTTTAAAGATTACTTGTGTGTGAGTGGTAGTAGCAACGTCGCAATGCAGAAAGAGACAAACAACATCAACTTCCCTCATTTTCCATTAATTTCCAAGTCAAATGTGACCGTGGAATCAACAACATGTCAGGTCAAGAGTAATGCTCTGCACAAGACAATTGCGGAAGGGAAGGAGACGATCGCCTTCTCACGGATATGTGGAAATCAATGACATGTTTAGGGTTTTATGTTCATGAGGCTCTGTCGTGCTTTCGTCTGCATAATGCGTGGTATCTAGCGATAAAATTGACATCGCATTGGAAATCAAACGTTCACTGTGACAATACGGAGCTGATTTACGGCACACATCTTGCCATTCGATGCTCCGACCCGATTTCGAAGCCCTGTAGAGGATGCGTCTCCGCAACAATTTCGCATGCACATGGGGTTTCCACCGTCTCGCTACAGGGCAACAAATCAAGAGGAGCTGATTTTGCAATGTAGGGTTTGAAAGATGTGATTAAAACGAAGCCAAAACATTCCAGAAATAATGAAGATATCCTAGGGATTGTTCTAGTAGATTTTAAGGCTGATTTTTCGGTTGTGAGGGGCTACACAAAGTGTGAGTGAGTGGAACAAAGAAAAACTAATGAAGATATTCTGCAATAGTTTTGGCAGGATTTTACATTGATTTTGATCAATAGGAGGCTGCAAACTACAAAGGAGATGATGGACCAAAAAAAAGATGTTAGGAAATATCAAAGTGTTAGGGACATAATCTTTAGAACCTTCTAGAGACAAGTTTCTAGAACCTTCTAGAAGCAAGTCTTTGGAATCTTCTAGAAGCTTCTTAGTTGGTAGAAGATGTTAGAGACATAGCCCTTAGAACCTTCTAGAGATAAGTTTCTAGAACCTTCTAGAAGCAAGTCTCTGGAACCTTTTAGAAGCTTCTTAGTTGGTAGAAGTTGCTTGAGAAGCTTCCTAAATAGGAGTATATATTGGAATCGAGGCTGAAGAGTTCTTTAGTCTCGACAACACATCTCTTGGAGCTCTAGCTTACCTCTTTAGTGTTGTTCCCATCTGATTAATCTAATTCTTGCCAGTTCTTCTTGAACTTCTTGTTAGATCTCGAGTCTGTATTTCTATGTCCGTGACAGTTTGTCGAGACTTCACTCACCTCAGATATCAGAGCTAGTTTCTTCCTCGTTAGAATGTGGATTATCCCTCTGCTTGGAAGTGTACTAGCATTTTAGAGGTTGCGGATTACCCTCCTCTAAACTGATACTTCTTTTGTTACAATATTGGAGTCTTATTCTTCTTGGAGAGAGTGGATTACCCTTTTTCTTGAAGCTCTTAAGGCATTTTAGAGGTTGCGGAGTACCCTCCTCTAAACCAATATTATCTTCTTATAGAGTCATTTCTGTCCTTCTCTTAGAATGGCCGGGGGCCAAGACATTAGTATGACAGAAAGTTCGGAGTCCAAGTTGGATGCAAACATGAATGCCCTCGCTACGTTATCGCAAAGAAATGCAGAGATTGAAGGAGTTGTGGCAAGGCTTCATAATGATGGAGCATCTGAGATGGCACAATCTAGGTTGCATTAGCCTCAAACTTCTGTACTTGGAGAAACAACTTTGCCTCAGGTTCGACAAGCACCGCTGGTTCTACAATATAAGGAGCCCCAAGTTAGCATCCTAGACAAGTTCGATAGTACATGTTCCAAGTTTCGAGGATTCGTCAACGAAATCAAGTTGATAATAGTTTTACAGCCCGAACACTATCCAATAGAGGAGTCACGTGTTGGACTTGCTAGGACCTTACTTACAAGACAAGCTCTATCATGGTTTGCTCCTTTGTTTGAGAAACGATCGTCCATACTAAACAACTTTGAAACCTTTTTGTAGGCGTTTGCGGAAGCATTTGGTGAGCACGACAAGGTTCAATGGACTACAACAAAGATTCGGTCACTACGACGAGGGATGCGCTCTACATCAGTCTATGTATTGGACTTCAGGCAATTAGCATGCGACATCAATTGGGACGAAGAAGCGTTGATGAGTCAATTCTATTGGGATTTAAGGGACGATGTGAAGGATTTGTTGTTAACTCTTCTTGATCCGCAAATGCTCAACGAAGCTATTAACCAAGTTGTGAAGTGTGATAATCGCCTATTCCAACGCTGCCAAGATCAACGTTTAAGACAACAAACAGTTTGTCACGCTCCAACTATGTCGGCAAGCAACATGAATTCATATTCAAAGGTAGAAGACATGCGAATTGATGCGGTACGTGTCAAATCCCTTACTCTAAAAGAAAAAAAGCGGCGTATGGAGGAAGGTCTATGCTTGTATTGTGGTGAAGAAGGCCACAAAGTTGGAAACTATCTCAAGAAGCAAAATCAACGTATTGTCAAGACTAAGGGCGCGTTTATTCAGGAAAACGAGGATGCCCAGCCACAATAGGAACCGTGCGGCTGGACAGTGAAATATCGCAACAACAACTAGGTTCCTTTCTTTCCGCTCAACCTGCCCTTTGTTTTACAATCCCTTTGCTTATTGGCCCTCAAAAACTGAGAACCTTAGCATTATTAGATTTAGGAGCATCTGCTTGTTTCTTAGTCAAAGAATTTGCGAAGCATCATAAGATCCCTTTAGTACAAAAATCCAAACTTATTCACGTTGAGGTCATAGATGGACGACCTTTATTGTTCGGTAGTGTCATCCATGAATCAGAACCTATAGAAGTGACATTTAAGGGCCATAGTAGTCATATTATTCTCAATATTATTAGAACCCCATCAAATTCTGTTATTCTTGGTCTTTCCTGGTTGGAAAAGCATAACCCATGCATAGATTGGAAGTTGAGGAAGATGACCTTTCTCACAAAACCACCCAAGAGCAAGCCTAATAGAAAACCCCAAATAGAAAAATTCTTATTTATTGGAGCAAGAGCGTTTATAAGATCGTCTAAGGAAGGCACACCGTTTATCATTTATGCGGCTCCAACTACCGTGGAGAAGATCTCGACAGCAAGTATACCGAAGCAATATAAGGATTTTAAAGACTTGTTTCAAAAGAAGAATGCCGACATGCTACCAGAACACAGACCATATGATTGCGCCATAGACTTGCAGGAAAGAGCACAACCGCCTTTTGGCCCAATCTACAATCTATCGCAGATGGAGTTGGCGGAGTTGTGAAAGTACATCGATGAGAATCTAGCCAAGAACTTCATCCATCATTCAAAATCAACAATTAGAGTACCCATCTTATTTGTGAAGAAGAAAGTTGGCTCATTGTGGATGTGCGTGGACTATTGAGGCCTCAACAAGATAACAAAGAAGAATCGTTACCCGTTACCCTTGATTTCTGGTCTCTTAGAACAACTTGGATGTGCAAAGATCTTTACAAAAATTGATCTAAGAGGAGCTTACAACCTCGTACGAATCAAGGAAGGAGATGAGTGGAAGATAGCGTTTCGTATAAGGTATGGCCATTTTGAGTATAATGTCATGCCCTTTGGTCTTATCAATGCTCCAACGGTCTTTCAACATATGATGAATGACATTTTTCGAGAGTGACTTGACGATTTTGTTGTCATCTATTTGGATGATATTTTGATATTCTCCAAAAATGAGGAAGAGCATGAAAAGCACGTTCGTTTGGTCTTGGAGAAACTACGCAAGCGAGGACTATATGCCAAGTTGGAGAAGTGTCTATTTCACCAAATAGAGATGGAGTTTTTGGGATTCGTTGCGACTACGGAAGGCTTGAAGATGGACCTCAAGAAGGTGGAAGCAATCGTGTCCTGAGAGGTTCCGAAGATGGTGAGAGACGTACAATGCTTTCTTGGCTTTGCCAACTTCTATCGGATCTTCATCAAGAATTACTCTCAAGTTACTGCTCCTCTCACTCGGTTGACATGCAAGGATAAGCTGGAATGGGGACCTCTAGCGGAGAAGGCGTTTCAAGACTTGAAGACCGCATTTATTACAGCTCCAATCTTGATACATCTAGACTTTACAAAGGCCTTTTATTTAGAAACTGATGCTTCAGATTTTTTTTTGGAGCTGTACTTTCACAAATGGGAGAAGACAAGAAACTCCATCCGGTTGCATTTTATTCTCGAAAGTTCTCTGCTGTTAAAATCAATTATGAGATCCACGATAAAGAATTTCTTGCTATAGTGGATTCTTTTTAAGAATGGCATCATTTTCTTGAAGGAGCTGCACACCGAGTGACCGTATACATAGATCACAAGAATTTGGAGTATTTCATGTCGACTCGAGTTCTAAATCGACGTCAAGCTCGGTGGAGTATGTTGTTATCTAGGTTCGATTTTATTATCACTTATCGACCTGGAAAGTAGCAAAGACTATGTGATGCCTTATGGAGGAGATCATATCTTGTACCAAAGGTTGGAGAAGCAACATTTGATCAACAATGTACGGTGTTGTTGAAGCTAGAGTAATTTCGGCTTTGCGCTACTATTGTGCCAATTGATGCTGACTTCCTGAATCAGGTATGTGCCGCGACCATTAAAGATTCAATAGCCATTGATATCAAGCAGCATGCCAATGACGACAAATTCAAGGTGGAAGGAGATCTTTTATACTTTGAGGAGCGGTTGTATATCCCAAAAGGACAAGCACGACTCCAAGTTCTTCAATCTTGCCACGATTTTCCAGCTGCGGGACATTTTGGATTCAACAAGACCTTGGAGCTTATTTCTCGAGATTTTTGGTGGTCCCAAATGTGGAAGGATGTAAAAGATTTTGTCTTCTTCTGCGACATCTGTTCAAGATCCAAGAATCCTCGGCATCGCCCTTATGGACTCCTATAGCCATTGCCGATTCCACGTCGACCATGGTCTTCAGTT